AATACTTAAATTTAGCAGGAAGCTTAACTGAATCCCTGTGCGATCATTTCATACCTGTCCTTTGATAATTTTAGGCACTTTTGTTTGCTGCTTCCCTGGAACTCTTGTGACACTCTGCCTATTGCCTCTGATCCCAGCCTAGTGTCTTACCAGTCCATCTGCACCCTGACTTAAAAAAAAAAAAATTCAAGTTCGTGCACCTGGGCCTCCTAACATCTGGAGGGAAGTGGATCCTGCTTTGAGGTCACTTCCTTCAACACAGCTTTTTCCTCCTCTCCTGTAAGAGTTATCACCCTAGAATATTTTTTAGACTCCTGGTCCCTTGGTGGCAGGTCGCCATGTTGTGAGTGCAGTGTGTTTCCTTGTTAAAACAGCTGTACCCTCCCTCTGTAACCCGCTGGGGGCCCCTGGGGTAGTACTTCAATGCCTGCTATGTGGTGGTGACTGATCTTGCTTTAAGGATGCTGAAGTGACTGATCATTGAGACAGGAGACAGACGACATTTGTACCAGGTTAAAAAAACAATGTCTGCAGGGTGCTGGCATCCCAGGGTACCACAGACGGTGGGCACAGTGTCATCAATTTTGCTTTAGAAGGATCCCACCTAGCACTAGTCAGTCGCTTGTGACTTAAGGCCATTCTGAAGTCCTAGGAAAGATTCCAGTGTTAAAGGCTTTTTCTAGGATGGCATTTAAGAATGTAGTGCGTCTTCCCTCCCTCAGGCCAGTAAGGTAGACTTTTTCAATTAATGCTCAAGCTTGAGATTGGAAGAGGCATACAACTCAGATCCACCTACCTTTATCAGAAATTTTAAAAACAGATCCTACAGAGATCTTTGTCTTTGAAGATCTGATCCATTGGGTCCTTTTATTGCTCGTTTTAGGTAGTGATTACAAGAATAAAATTTGGATTCAGAACTTCTGTGGGAAACGGATAGGTTTTCTTTGCTCTTCTGAGACAGTACCACCAAGGCAAGTGACCTTGAATAATAAATGGCCAGAGAATAAGATGGAGCTGAGACTCTGGGTGTTGTAAGATACTTGTCAAACCTCAAATAAAAGTGTCAACCATTGTACAAATTGTCCCTCCCACAAGACAGGGTAACAAAGTCTTCTGTCGGCTTCTGGGGTGAAGAGCAACAGCAGGAGTTCTGTCCCTACCTGTCATGCTGGGGTTCCATGGTTGGATTCATTGTGTGCAGGGAGGCTTGGATGTGGTACAATGTGCACAGTGCCATTTGGAGAACAGGATTTTAAATTTATTCTAAGGAGAAACAATGGATATTCCTTAAAGCACCCCCTGAGTATAGTTAAGTATCTCATTTTCTTCTACGGCGGAATCTAGAAATATCACCCAACTTTACACATTTATGTTTGTCCCATTATCTGCTCTACATCTCTGACCAGCAATATTTTTGTTCTAGTGCCTTCTGGAAGAGTTGAGTTCATCCTCTCCGTACGTAGCAAGCAATGCTTTAAAAATAGCCAAGGTGCAAATAATGGGAATTTAGTCTACTGCCAGAGTTCCTGCTGTGCACCCCATCCTGATGCACAGAGCATTCCCAGGTGCCGAGGGCTGTGCCCAAAGACAGCAAGCCAGTGTGTTCCTGTGCAGAAGTAAACTGCATCCAGGTGGCTACAGTTGTCTCACAGAAATACACCCCTTTTACATTTTGTTTGAAAACCAGTGTCTGTATCTATCCAGATATATCAAGTTTGATAAGCTGGCTTCTCCAGCTTGAAGGTAGAATTGTGGTCACACAAGCAAGTCAGTTCTTTGAGAGGACTTTTCTGCTGGCAGGAGCTGCCCGTGCTGGTAATGCCGCAGGCTCATGGATATCTATAGGTCGTGCATGTCTCTGTGGGTCATTTGGCCTAACTGCATATCACTGCATTCATATTCTGTTCCAAAGAGACTTGGACATCTGTTCCTTTTGCAAGTCTGGGCTCCATGGGTCCTGCATTAAGAATCCCAGTGTGGTTAGCCTTGTGGCTTTAGTTTCTGCCTGGGATAACAACATGCTTCCGAGAAAGGGGAGGACACTGCAGAGTGACCCCTTCTTGCCTTTCTGGGCTCATCAGTTACTTTGTGAAACCTGGGAAAGCAAACGCTATTGGATTGTGGTCTCTATGCCTTATGTCCTTGAGAGAGGAGGGAACAGGTAGGATCTTTCTCTCTCTGTCTGTCTCTCTGTCCATCCTATAGCTAAATTAACAGTAGTGCAACTGTTGAACTCTTGGCCTTGTGCATGCTAGGCAGGCAAGCACACTACCACCGAGCTGCTCTCTGTCTCTGTAGCCGTCTTTACACATCTCCGGAAACAGCCTTTTCCCCTGTGTCATAGTGTTGCCTGTTCTCTGCCAGAAAACTGAACCAAGCAACTATTCATTAATTGTTTTTTGTGTGTGTGTGTGATTCACAATTTGACTTGGACAAAGCAGGTTAAATTGTGTAACAATTCCGGAAGAAATTAGCCCCTGGACTGACTCAGAGAGTTCTGGGGCTTTCTGGAACCTTCTGCAGGCCCAGTTGTCCAGCAGTGACTTGTGCCACTCAGAGCCCCGTCTTGACTGTCTAGGAAAGCCGCTTCTCTCCAGACGTTGGTGCCTGCCTTGCTGAAACACCTCTGAATCTGCTACTGGTGTGAACGCTCTGAGAAACAGTCCAGTGCGTTGGTGCAAAAAGACACTTTCAGGATCCACTGATGCCCCTGCTTGTTCTGTGTGTCCTCAGACTGACTAGCTTTTATTCCCCTATCTCATTAACACTATATAAGCAACACTCAGTCCCCATTTCCTTCCCACCTTGGCACACCAGGATGTCACTTCCTTTCCACCTGCGGGCCGCCAGGACCCTAGAAGAGCAGTTAGCAGCCATGCCTTCTGAGTTCCTCGTCTGTGTAACAAAGGGACTGAAGGTGTCACTGAAAATTTTACAGGTCTTGAGGTTTTTCTCTTCTAAAATACAGGAAGAACCATCCCTAGTTCCTGTGTGACCTGGGCCAGTGACATGACCAGGCAGGGGCACCCGACCCAGAGGGTCCTGGTGGGTACCCCGGCATGGGCAGGTGGTGAAATGTCTTCGGTAGTTGGAGAGGCGTGGACTTTTCCAGACTGATACTCTCTACTAAGGTTGTTAGTCAGTCATTTAATTATAGCAGAGCTAGGTGAGCAAGATATCACGGGATGATAAAGATGATAAATCAGTGATTTTTGTTGTTTTGTACATAGTAGCCAAAAGTGTATCTGCAGATGATGGCTGGTGGTTTCTTAATAAACTATTTGATAATGGTTTTAAGTTTACATAAAAATGGTGAGGGTAGGACAGAATTCCCATATATCCTGCACCTCGTTCCCTGTTAGTAACCTATCTTAAAACTGATGAAGCAATGTTGGGACATTGTTGCCAGCTAACATGCATACCATATTCAGATTTCCTTAGTTTCCCCTGTAGCTCCTTGTTCTATTCTAGGACCCCAGACAGGATACCACATTACATTAGGTCATCCCATTTCTTTGCGGGCTTCTTGGCTGTGGCAGTTCTGGGTTTTTCTTGTTTTTGTTGGCCTTGACAGCTTTGAGAAGGAGCTGCAGAATGTCCCTCAGCTGTGGTTTATCTGGTAGTTTCCTGTGATTAGACCCGGGGTGTGGGGAAGAGAAGGATCACAGGAGTAAATGTTCTTTGCTTCTGTCTTAGTCACTGCTCTTGTTGCTAGAACACAATCCCCAGTGCCCACATTTTAAAAGAGGAGAGATATGGTTTTGGCTCACAACTTACAGAGGTTTTAGTCCATAGTTGATTAGCTCCAAGGCAGGATGACTCAGCACAGGGGTCTAGCAGACTGGAAGCCCAGAGAAAAGTGGAGAGTCAGAGAGGGAGATAAACCCTTCCAGGGTAGACCCCCAGTGCGCACTCTCTTCTGACCAGGCCCCACCTCCTCACAGCAAGTCAACAGCAAGCCCTGACAATCCAGTCACCGTCCACAAGCCCCACTGATGAACATGTGAGGCTCTTGGGAGACATCTAGATATAAACCAGAGCAGCGTCGTATTGTCAGCATGGCTTTGCCCTGGGTTGCTGCTGACCTTGACCTCCTGAATAAGACCATGTTCTCAGTGGAGTAGCCGTGGAATGGGAAAGCCAGCTTCCCAGAGGGTGTTTGCTGGCACGTCTGCCCCAGACGTTGGTGCCACCTGGGAAAGATGGGCATGTAGGTCACAGGAAAGCAGTCGAGATCTGCCCAGCCATCACAGTCCCACAGTGTGCCCAGTATCCTGAGGCCCTCATGGGGCATGTTCCATGTGATCATGGATGACAGGAGCCAGTGTGTGGGTGCATATGTCCCATCTTTCCTGAGTTCTCAAGAGCATGTCACACACTCACCAGCACTTGGGCACAGGCGACAGGGCTTGCTGGAATATTGGCAGTTATAAAGAGCTGTCATGGGAAACAGTTCCACATTATTGTGTTCTGGCCCCGGTCTAAAAGTGGGAGCCTAAAAGTGGAAACAACATAGTTCTCGCCTTCACAGGATCCTAGAAAGATCTGGAAAATACTGTCATTGCTATTCAAGGCCTCTGTTTTAATTAAATCAAGGTACAGTTTGGTTTGCCTTCCATTACAATACAGTATACTTGAAATAACATCTTGTTTTTTCTGTAAGCTGTATGATTACGAAGGGCAGAAACATGTCATTGATTGGTGTTTCCTGTACTATATAACTTCTGCCTGTAGAAGGATCTCCACTGAGGACTGAAAAAAATCCAAAGACCGGAGGCCTCAGCGAAAAGCAGCTGGGTGTGTGGGATTGTTTCTGTTTGCGTTAGGGAACACTTCTGGCACCTGGTGGTAGAATGCTAGGAATTTTAGATGTCTTTGCAGAAAATGGTTATAAGGACCTCCTCCCTGTGCTCCAAATGCATGCGAGGTGAGGCTGATGGGAGAAGCCCGTGGCAGTGATGAAACACCTTTATTCTTTATTTCTGTTTTTTTTCTCACAGACTCAAGCAGTGCAATGGGGTGCAAAGTCCTGCGTGACCTTGGTCACCAGATGCTGCGGAGGAAAGTGGTGGACTGCAGCAGGGAAGAGAGCCGGCTGTCCCGCTGCTTGAACACCTTTGACCTGGTGGCCCTTGGGGTGGGCAGTACGCTGGGCGCCGGTGTCTATGTCCTGGCTGGAGCTGTGGCCCGTGAGAACGCTGGCCCTGCCATCGTCATCTCCTTTCTGATCGCTGCGCTGGCCTCGGTGTTGGCTGGACTGTGCTATGGCGAGTTTGGTGCTCGGGTCCCCAAGACGGGCTCCGCCTACCTCTACAGCTACGTGACCGTGGGCGAGCTCTGGGCCTTTGTCACCGGCTGGAACTTGATCCTGTCCTACATCATAGGTAAGTCCCAGCCGGCCTGCAGCTTGTGCCTTTTGCCCCTTCCTGTGTGTTCCCACCTCCTGGGGTGCCCCTGCTCCCCAGAGAGCCTCTTAGCTCAACTGCTACACTGGGTGCCTTCTCCTTTTCTTTGTCTTTTTCTTTTTTATCGATACCAGGGACCGAACTCACGACTGCCTGCTTGCAAGGCAGGTGCTTATGCCACTGAGCTAAATCCCCAGCCCCAGTGCCTTCTCCTTTTATGAAAGGTTCTCTGCGGCCTGCGACTGTCACTGTGGCGATGGCTGATGGGTAAGTGACCCAGGCCAGTGAGGAGTCCATCCCTAGCCCGAGAGACAGAATTGGTTAGCTGCTTCCAAGAAACTGGAAAACAACTTGTTCATGTACTATTTTTTTCCTGATTATTAAATACATCACAAAACAGAGAAAAACTTAGGAAATACAATAAAAAGCACAAAGAAGAAAGTACAAATACCCAACCTGACAACTCAGAGAATATTCTTCTTTCATTTGTTCTTTCCTTGTTTTAATAATGTAGTATTTATTAAGTGGTTGCCCTGTGTGGGGCATTTTGCTGGATGTTAGAGATAAAACGGGAGTAAGAAATTTCTTAAGAGTTTACTATCTAGAGTAAAAGTGTTCAAATTTTTGTGAATTTACAATAAATACCATATAAATTTTATAAAGTTACTAGAGGATGGCCTTGTAGGATGTGGAGACTGGTTCCAGATATGTTGCTGTTGTAAACAGTTAATTACTTTGTCTTTAACGGGACCATAATTTTTTCCCCTTAAAACTGTCTAAAAAGCAAAATGTCTAGACCAGTGCACTTGTATTATTTTATTTTAAAAAGATAAGTAAACAAAAATAAAAACAATTGTACAGAGTTCAAAACTGGATAATAGGAAATTAACAATGGTTAATATATTGTTGTCTTCAAAGTAGTTGCTCAGATTACAAGATACAGGCATGCAAAATTAATCAACCAATATAAGCACCAACTGATCCCCTCAATGAAGTTAGTAGTATAATTATGTTAGCTATTGAGTGCGTGTTTGTGTGTGTGTGTGTGTGTGTGTGTGTGTGTGTATTTTCTTTCTCCTTCCTTCATTTTTCTTTTCTCTCATCCTGGTTATTTTTTCTTTGTGAGCAATTTCTTTCCTCGTCTCAATATCCATTGCAGATTTGTATCTTGCTTGCTCTTTTAGCCTTACATTAGGGAGACGAGAGTACTTGCATTCTTTTAAGGGCTTTGTCAGTGATGTCTTCATCCTGGCATGAATTCCTTTCCACACAAAGCTGGATATTAGTGTTAAAAGAGCCGCCCAACAGAGAGCCCAAAACAAATACAAAAACAAAAAACAAATGTGTTCTCTTTCTCTTGTCCATTTATTAAACAAGGACTCCTTTATAGCAATTTAATAGAAAATTTATTAGCTCTTAGTGTTGAAAAGAAATTTCCTTCTACATACAAAAACAGTAGATTCGAATGCCAAGACACGTACCATGAAAACTTGGTGCTCTGGTTCTTGTATTCTTTGTGTGATTGTAACTGAAATTGGCCACATCAGCGTAAAGGAAAGAAGCACCTGAATGTAAGAATTGGCAAAGCATATGCATGACCACTCCGCAGAAGTAGAAATGCAGGTGACATTCAAATTTGTTATTAGCAGGCTTTTTTAAATATTGCTGAAAAACTTGTGAGATGTGCTAAGTGAAGCCACACAGCTCCTGCTTGCTTCCATGTCCGTTCCCTGGGGGACCCTGTGTGTGATGCTGGGTGCTTCCCACACCCGCTGCATGGTTCTGGGATCCTGATAGGGGACCCTTGATGTTCTTGTGGATAGGAGCCACAACCTCTGCTTCACCAGGAAGCTAGCTCAGACTCTGTGGGGCCCTTCTCTTTTCTCAGCTGCAGTATCTGCTGAGAGCCAATGGAGCTTGTTTGGAGTTCCAAAAGGAAATTTGTGATATTTTTTCTGTATAACATTAGAACTTATAACAACAAAAGGTGCTCGTGCACTGAGGTCCCTTAGTAGGAATGTAGCTGTTCTAATCGCACTGTTATAGTTTCAGAGAGTTTACATGGGTGTAAAACAAAACACTGGGCATGAAATGTTTGCTGCTTCCAGGCTCAACACAGAGAGTCTTTGCCAGAATGCTAGTTGCCTGTGTAAGAACTCAAACGTGTTTCATGGAAATTTATTCTCAACCCTAGCTACTGTGAAGAGAAATTTTTCCAGCTAACTTTTTAAAACCATGCTTCAGAAATGGGAAAGGGGATCTACTAGGGATAAAGGGCAGGCGGCTCCTGGCATCCAGTAGGATGAGACTTGGGGGCCCTAGTGCAGTGAGTTGGGTGTGTTGGGGGCACAGGGGAGACACTGAAGCCAGTTTCCTCTGTTGGGCTGTGGCCTTATTGGACAGAACTCATAACTGATTGCTGTTCCAGATAAAGGAGGGTTAAATTTTTGGGTTTTGGAAAAACACCTAGCATGAGAACAAATAATGAGATTGTATCTGTGTTCAGATCACTTTGGAAAAAATTCTGTGGATAATTCAGACCATTAGGGACCAGCATGGCCTTTTGAAAACAAAGGAAAATGCTATATGCAGATGTTGGAATTTTAGTGACATTTCCTGACAAGCAGTGACTGTCTTTAGAATTAAGAGAGAGAGAGGGAGGGAGAGAGGAGAGATCATTTGGGGTGTAGCCTCTGCTTGTGTCCTATGGCTGGCAGCTGGGGGTGTGGAGATGGGGCTGCTCTGGCGATGGCCCTGAACTGCTAGGACACTGGTCTCTGGGGCAGGTGGTATGAACCCAGGCTTAAGCCCAAAGTGGCGAGCGGCAGATTCCTGCTCTGGTCTGAATGGTGGCTGTGTGCTGGAGATAGGGGTCAACCTTCTTGCAGATCTCCTTAGAGAGGAATTCTGGGGTACAGGTGCCATTGACACTGCTGCCATGGGTTTCTGGAAAGGTTTCTTCCTAAGCAGAGGTTCTGCAGCCTGCTGACTGCTCTAGGGTACATATGAGCCAGTTCTGCAGCTGTCATCTGTATGTATTGTTATTTTTTTAGTGACGTTAAATGGGTAGAGTTGAATAGATGCCATCATAGTGCCTCAGGCAGAAAGGGGAAACGCACTCTGTAAACTTTTTTCTGGTATCTATCTCATGGGTTGCTAATACACAGACAGATGCCTCTCAGCTTACAGCAGCCTGACACCTTGAGAAACCCATCATAGGATGAGGCTACAGTGAGTCGGAAATACATGGCTACACCTGCGTCACTCTGCAGCCTCGTCAGCACCATGGCCTGCTTGGGAACCCTTCTGAGCTGGTTGACGGAGCTATGATTGCTGCCTCTGCCTGGCTTTGAGATAGGGCTGTACCAAATATTGCTAGCTCCAGAAAAGACCCAAATTCAGAATTCAGGTATAGTGTTCATTGAATCCATGTCATTTTCTGTCATCTTGAAAAAGCCTACATTGAACATTTATGAATCAAGGTAAATAAACATGTCTGAAAGACGTGACATACGTACATATTGGGTGGAGCTATAAAATGTCCTTCCTTCCTGCCCTGTGAGTCCTTACTTTTTACTTTGTGCCAACACTGGTTGACGCTCCCTCTGGCTTAAAGCATTGACAGCGGTCTGGCTGCCCCTGGGGGGTGTCATGCCATCTCTGAACTGTTGTGGATGCTATACGTGTCAGGCATGGTGACAGACACTCTGTTGACTGTTTGAATGACAGCTGTGTGTTTTGTGGCAGGTACTTCAAGTGTAGCAAGAGCCTGGAGTGCGACCTTTGACGAGCTGATTGGCAAACCCATCGGGGAGTTCTCACGAAAACACATGGCCCTGAATGCTCCTGGGGTGCTGGCTGAAACCCCTGACATATTTGCTGTGGTCATAATTCTCATTTTAACAGGTAAAGTCACACCTTGACATAAGAGACTGACTTGAAGCAATGGGTAAATGTTCCATGACAGGCTCCTAATAGGTTTGTGTCGGCTTGTCTGTCTGTCTCTGTCTCTCTCTCTTTTTTGTTTATGCTGCAGGAATCCAGGGCCTTGTGTATGCAAGACAAGTCCACTGCCACTGAGCTACACTCCTAAGCCCTCTTTTTTTTCTTTTCTTACCTTTAGGGCTCCCACATTTTTTGTTTGTTTTTGTGATACACACAGACATCTCTGCTCATAATCAATAGATTCACACAGAGCTGACTGACTTCTGTGCCATTTAATTAAAAGGAATCTCAGGTGTTGAGTATAACTGTTTGTGGAATGAGGTTTTATCAGGACGGAAGGTTCTTTGTACAAATGGCTCAGGAATCAGACTCCTTTGACTCAGTGGGTGACCATTTGGAAAGCAAAGAGGTCATTTGTCCACCAAGAAAATGGAAGCATGAGCTCTGTTTGCTTATGTCTAAAGTGGATGAATACTGAATAACTGCCAAAACACCTTTCCAGAAAGTAAATCGTGGCTACAGAATTTTTAAACTCCAGATATTATAGACACAACCAATACCATCTTCATATTCATGACATTTGTCTATGTCTCAGCCACTAGGATGGGAGTTTTCCATTTTGGAACATTTGTTCTATGTATCTAAGACTGAAATGCAGATGAATTTTTATCTGAGGTTAGAAAATCTTGCACAAGTTTTAAAAACAACATGCCTAAGCTTCCACACTGTGTAATTGAAATGATTTTGCACAGGCCAGTTTTGGCAGTAAATCTAGTCCAGCTGGCAGATACATGTATCAGAAAATAATTTTGCTCTACTGTAGTGAGATCCTCATTTTCCTAAACACGAGAGGGAGGGACACTAACGCAGAGATACATTGGAGCCTGATGACATTGTCACCCCGTGATTAATTACACAATTCTTTCCTAACATCTGTGTTTCAGCATTCAATGTAGTATTACAGCAATTTTTATTTTAAAACGTATAAAAGGCATCTATGGCAGGGAAGAAGTCTGAAATCATGACTGTGGTTGAGTAGTGTTTGGCCCTTTCTCCTGCCCATCATAGAGTGTGGCCATGTGTGTTAACCAGCTTTCTGTATGGTGTCACATACCTGAGATGACTGTCTTACATATCATGGTTAGACCACATGGTTGAGTAGAATTATACACCTCATGGGCAGAATGTGAAAGAGAGAAAGAGGGAGAGACTGAGACCCCACGATCCCCTTCCAGGTCACATGCCCAAATACCTAAAGCCTCTTAGGCCACACCTCCTAAAGGTCCACCAGGAGTGCCACCCTGGGAAACAAGCCTTTACCACATGGGTCTTAGAAGGACACCTAAGATCTGAACTAGAGCAACATGGAAGTCCCTAAATGGCATGATCACTCTAATGTTGTGTTGGGGTACTCCCCAAAGATAGTGCTGTCTTGAGATTCTTTCATCATTTAGTTGATTTTGTTTTTGTTGCTGTTATTGTGTCTTGTTTTGATTTTAAATGGATTCACAAGCTAGAACTAATCAGGCTTAGACTCTCAAAATTTTTTTTGGTGTGGAGCTTGAACTCAGGACTTTCACACTGAGCTACATCTGCAGCTCTTTTTATGCTTTAAATTTAAGACAGGGTTTCTCTAAGTTGTTAAATTGCCAATTAAGAGTGCTGGGATTATGGGCGTGCACCACTACACCTAGCTTAGACATTCTTCTGTAGGCACTGAATCGAATGGGAAGCCATATGTATTAGTGGGTGGTTTTTTCAACTCCTGAGGAGATCCAAACAGCTTGGGAAACACTGCATGGACTTTGGTTATTTGGGTCCTTGGCAGTAGGGTGGGTAACACAGCCTCATTCGACAGGCTCACAGCTGTCTTTGGAAGTTCAATGCTGTTGCCATTCTTTTTCTGTCATCTTCTTGTTGCTGTCCTCATTGCTACCCTCCAAGTGACCTCCCTAGCACGTGGATTATAGTCAGAATTTTCTGTTTGTGTCCTTTTCAGGACTTTTAACTATTGGCGTGAAAGAGTCAGCCATGGTCAACAAAATATTCACCTGTATCAACGTTCTGGTCCTCGGCTTCATTGTGGTGTCAGGATTTGTGAAGGGTTCCATTAAAAACTGGCAACTCACAGAGGAGAATATCTTGAATGAGTCTAGCCATCGATGTCTCAACAAGTGAGTCATTTCCGTCTCTTGGCGTGTGACAATTCTCCATCTTGGATATGTAGCACCACGTACACATTTTCGGGGATATAATTGACTTCATGGCCTTAAAAATACACAATTCAAGTTTATTTTGTTCACTTGTTTTGTTTCACCTTGTTTGCCTGCAGTGAAGTCATGCAGGGTACCTTCTGGTTTGGAGGGTATAACGTTTATTCCTTTGAACTGGACAGCACGTTGCATAACAAGGAAGATTTTCAGGAAAACAAGACCATCATTTCAATGCCAAATTGCTGTCATGTTCCTCAAGGAATCTTTCTTTCTCATTGGGTTATATGACCAGCCTTTAAATTTTATATTCAAAACAAACTCTGTCTTCATTTTTAAATGCCTTCCGGTAACATGAGTCATGTTCAGGGAAGAAGAAATAGATGGAACTTTTATTAAAGGGGTCCTTCTGGACATTTGATGGGGTACACGAGGGCCCCATCACCTTGATATTTGTGACTTAGGACCCTCAGAGCTTGAGGACGGTGAAAGCCAGCTGTCCGTTCTGGACTGTCTTAGACCACCAAGGGAGCCCTCCCCAACATGCGCTTGCTATGTAGGAAACGAAGCCAAATAGTTGTAATTTGTCTTTTCGATCTTCTCTGTCAGATTTTCAGATGAGTTTTTGTGTCCCGGGGTGGAGAATGGGAGTTGGGTTTGTCTGCGATTCTATTTTCCTTAAGGTGAAAGCCTGAACTGCTAGGATACGGACACCCTCCTAGAGGCAATGATGGCTGGTTTGGGGACTCAGACAACCACCATCTTGTTTTATCATTCTTGACGACAGCTTTTGTTGTACTCCTCTGCCTAGCCTGTGGGTGAAGTGGGCCCTGGCTTTCCAGAAGTGGAGAGAGTATGGGAGGGAAGCATTACCCAGAGCTCCTGAGGACATACCAGGGAGACCATCCTGCTGTCTGTGTCCCACTGGTGAGCACTCAGTGGGTGGCCACATCTAATGGCAAAGGCGGCTGAGAAATGCTGACCCACCCAGGGCACCTCAGCAGTCACAACTACTAAGTCAGTGGCTAGTTCAGGGACGAGTGTCAGCTACCTCCCCCAGCTCTGATCAGGGAACAGGCAGGGTGTGTACTTCATTCTGTAGAACAGCAAAGTATGAATTAGATGTAGGAAATCTCACTAATGCTACAATCATGTGGCTAGGAATTCAAATAAAAATGAGTCTCCTCAACTCCTGACTTCAAATAAAAATAAGCCCTCTTTGCTTAAAAACTGTAACAGAAACAAGGGATTTTGATATTTCTAAGCATTTCAGAATTGTCTGAATGCCAAATTTATTGGTACCCATTAATTCAAGATGGAATGAAGCCAACTCAAAATACGCTTTGAAGAACTGCCATAGACTTTGAAAACCTCGAGAGTGGATTTTACTGGGTACTATTCCAGGTCAGAAATGAAATACCGAGGGCTCCTCTTGCTCTGCGTTGCCAGTTGAGAGTTAGTATCATTTAATTTCTGTCAGGAGATTGTGCCTGCAGTCGTATTTGCTTTCACCAGCCATCCTTGAACTGAGTGTGCTCCCGATGACTGAGCTGCTGGCCATTCAGCTAAGGAGGTGTTTGTCGCCCCAGCCCTCCGGCCCAGGTTAGGCCCTTCATTTCCATCTGAAGATCTGGGCACTGCTGTTGGAGGATGTCAGGATCAGCCACTAAAGAGGTGAAGTTCTGCAGTCCTGGAGCATAGCTGGCTCTCACATTCCATTAAACTCTGCACATGGCTTTTGTTTTTTGCCAGCTGTAGATTTGTATTTCCCGGAACAGCCACATAGTCTTGCATGAAATTGCTCATCCCTCTGAAATAGCAAGGCCTTTCCCGGCTGAGTCGTGTATCATGCAGGGGTGTCAGCCTGCATGGTTGAGAGGCTGCTCTGACTGCACTGGGTTTGGAATCTTCTGGTATCTTTTTCTTTCCACGGCTTGCAGGGAAGCCTCTGGACCTGCGTTACCGTGTCTTGGGGTCTGGGTTGGGGTGTCACCCTACATTTGCAGTGGCTTTTCCCTGCCTTGACTTGTGCTGCTCCTGGCCTTTTTCTCCAGCATCCTGGAAATGGGTAACACAGGAAATAAGAGTGACACAAGTTTATGCTATGAGGAAGCCTATTGAGGGTTTGTGGGACAGTGCGTGCCCCTTAGGATAGAAATCCCAAAGTGATGCTGACCTCATAAGGTAAAGATCAGCTCTCTTCAGGTAACAAGAGGACATGGCCAATCCAGCATATCTGTTACCTGGCTCAGGGATCTAGTCCTTTCATCTTATGACCTTTTCTGTGGCCCATTTTTCCAAGGCCATTTAGCTTCGCAGTGGCTGTTCTGCTCCAGCTAGCAGGAAGGAGAAGGGAAGAGTACAGGAGCACCTTCTCTGCCATCATCCCTGTGCATTGTTCAGGAGATTTAGTCCCATTGCTGCACCTACAGTTAGAGTCCGAGAGGTGTAGGCTTGATTCTCACTGATCATGTGTCTGCACCTGACCTCGAACTCCACTTTGCCAATTATTGTCTTTGTTAAGGATCCGTTGAGTGGAATGCAGCACGGCTGGTCACCCAAACTGCAGGGGAGGGTACTGCATTAAGGCCTTGGTTTAGCTCCACTGTGTCATGAGCTGACATTTGCCAGGAGGTGGCCTGGGCAGTATCCACCCAGTGATGAGAGGACCCGCATGTACTAGGTTAAGTATTGGTTATAAGTGAACAGCCTTTGAAAATATTTCTGTTTTGGTTTAAGGCCCTATGCAGTGGATTCTGCAGTTATTTTACCTTCATGTTCTGTGACTGAGGTCAGGAACACCAAATTTAAAAAGTTGAATTTAATATTTGAGTAAATATAATAATCACATAGTTTCTATTATTTTTTTATTTTTAAATTTTATTTTAAAGAGTGTAAAGCCAAGCAAAATAAAACAGAATGAAGCCAGTCAAAACAAGACAACATAAGTGACACAGGACTTCAAAACAAGATAATAGAAATCAACAATAGTCACCATAATGCTTCTTATTGTCTTCAAAATAGCTGCCCATACCTTCAGACATAGAAAATTAAACAAAATAGAGCAGAATAGAGTCAATAGAAACAAAACAGTGAATGCAATACAGCACTTCAAAACAAGATAATAGTAAACCCAAAGTGGCTACCATAATACATCTTGTTACCTTTGAAATAGCTGCCCATGCCATTAGATGCAACAAAATCAAACAAGATAAAACAGAAAAAAACCCAACCAAGCAAAACAATGAGAATGATGCAGGATTTTGAAATAAATAATAGGGAATTAACAATGGCTAACACCTTTAGGAGGAGACTCCCCATAGATGCTACACTATGTATTGTCATCCTCTGAATAGATGATCAGACTACTGGGTTTAGACCTGCAAAGTCAGTGAAACACTGAACACTACAAGCATTAAGTTGTATTTTACCTCATTGGCTACCATCACAGCCTGTGTTTCTCTGGGTTAGCTGGCCACTTACGTGTTGGGATGGGGGATGTTAGTTCTTCCTGTCTCCCTGCTCACCCACTGGAAGGGGCTGGCATCTGGCTCTCCCCTGGTCATCCCGCACATGGCACCGAATCACAGGCAGTCTTAGTGTCTTGCTGACCTCTTGCTCTCTTCCCCTGCAGTCCGCACATGGTGCCGACTCACAGGAGAGGGCTGGCGTCTGGCTCTCACCCAGCCAGCCCGCCAATCACAGAAGACGTGCGTCATAATGGTTTTTAGAAAGCTTTTTGTGAAGAAATCTCCTTCCTATTCCTTTCTTCATCTGCCTCATCCCCTACTCACATAGTGAGTGGTCGTCTTTATTGTGTTTGGTGGGAAGGCTTTTAGTTTTTCTTTATATAAAACTAGCAAATGGGAATGTGTATTTTATCCCTAAGTTTTTTTCCCCTGGATTTGTTCTCTTCCTGGTGCTCCTTTTGTATATCAGGACCTCTCCACTGAGGTCAGAGGAGCAGGTGCAGGGGTGCCACTGTCAAGAGAACCAACTGGCTCACAGCTCCAGGAGTCCCTTGCCCTTTGTCCTGACACCCCTTGTGTCAGTCGGCTTTTTCCTTTGTCTCCAGTTGGTGAGTCATCCAAAGCTCCTATCCCCTGTGTTTTTCTCACTTACTTCCCTGCATCTGCTGACTAAGGAGTGGTCCAGACTTCACTCCTCTTCTGCCCCCTCATCTCTCTGGCTTAACGATTAGCAGTCCCCTGCACATTCCTCTTCCGTCTGACTGCAGTTCTCCAGCATCCCAGGTGCTCCTGCTTCACAGCTGCCAGGGGAAAACCATCAAAGGTGGCAGTTGGTTGTTTCTATTAAGCTGCGGACCTCATGTACAGGGGCACTGGAGGGATGCTGCAGCTGACGAAAACGGTTCAGTTCTGTAGCTGTAGTTTCTGTTTTGGAGACTTGAGTTACTGGTAATCTCAGGGTATCGGGTGGAGATAATGCCTCTGATTGCCAGCTCTGTGTCTCCGTGTCCCTGGGGGCCTTGGGGAGGAGGGTATGGGGACAGTCCCAGCTCCAGTGGTTAGACTCCCATTCCCCCGACTTTCCCAACAAGTCATACAAGATACTTACAGACCAGATGATGGTGAGCACTGTCGTGGCTCTAAGCCTGCTGCCCACGGAATTGGAACATTGTGACCTGAGGACTGTAATTAAGGGTCTGAAGCCCCTGGGCCCAGCAGTAGTAACAGGGTAGGGTGACCATCTAGTATCACTTCTCTTCAGGATGTGAGTGTTGCTTCTAAACCAGACTATACACAACATGGGTCATGATTTTTGACTCTGGCCGTTTTTTCTCCTTCTAGTGACACAGGATCAGAGAAACTTGGTGTTGGTGGATTCATGCCCTTTGGGTTCTCCGGTGTCCTGTCGGGGGCAGCGACCTGCTTCTATGCCTTTGTGGGTTTCGACTGCATTGCCACCACTGGTACGCACCCCCCACCTGCCACTCCCTGATCCCCCACTTCCTGGATGACATGGGAGGGAGGCTCCTACTATCTATAGCCAAAATGTCCCTTCCTGCTCCGTGTATGACTCTTGCACATGCAATAATGTGAGGAGGTACAGCTTCCTGCCCGTCTGCCCCACCTCTTTTATCATTTCCCCGAGTGGCAGTGCCGGACAGGGTATTGTGTCCTGAGCATCGCTGAGAGCTCTGGTGTTAGACCAGGATAATGACGGCCTGGCTGCAGCCTGATTGGCTATCTGTGTCCTATGGGAGAAATGAGAACACTGAAAACAATGTCAGCATGGTTGATTCATGTTGAGACTAGATGGTCAGACCAGGTATTCTCAGCCGAGGGGAAAAGTCTGTCCTTTATTTAGCTGGAGCTCAGTGTAATGATGGATAGCTGTCCTAGGAGCCCTGGGGCTGCCTTGAGTGGTTACCAAGGGCCCCCTCTGCGTCAGGAAGCTGCAACCTGGACATTCCAGGGTGACCGTCCCTGCTGTCGTGCAGGTGGGCACAATGCCTCCTGCCCTCAGACTCTTGCTGCTTGCAGGTGAGGAAGTCAAGAACCCCCAGAAGGCCATCCCCGTGGGTATCGTCGCATCCCTCCTGATCTGCTTCGTTGCATACTTTGGGGTGTCTGCCGCCCTCACGCTCATGATGCCCTACTTCTGCCTTGACACCAACAGCCCCCTGCCCGATGCCTTCAAGCATGTGGGCTGGGAAGGGGCCAAGTATGCAGTGGCCGTCGGCTCCCTCTGTGCACTTTCCACCAGGTGAGTGATTCCCAGCTTCCCGCTGCACCCCCCATGCCTCACTCCTCACAGGCTGGCTCTGCAGAAGGTGCAAGGCCAGTGGGAAGCCGCCCACAGGCTGGTACGCCTCTTTCCCTTGAGTTCACACCAGTACCCAACTCCGAATGTGCCTTTCCCCAACTTCTGCGCTATTAATCATCCCGGTGTTGCTTGTTTTACTGACACCATAGTTTCTGTCATTGATAGGGAGATCCACTCCAAGACCCCGGGGAAGATGTTTCTCCTAACATACATACCTGGGATAAACTTTGTAGGCCTAGTAGGCGATTGATAACACTAATAATGTAGAACAGCTGTAATAGTATGTTAGGGTCAGAACTGGTCAAAATTATCAACTTTATTTCTGGAAATTTCCATGTAATAGTTTTGGACTGTGATTGACCATAGATAACTGAAACTACAGCGGATAAAACCATGGAGAAAAAGAGGTGGTCATATTTTTTCCCACAAAGATCCAGAGCCCACCTTTTAGACATAGTCTGGGTAGTGAGCCACAGGCTGTGTGTTCCTAACCTTTGACCTGTGGTCCTCCTGGCTGCCATCTTCTGGCCTTTTGTTTTGCTGTAAAGGAGAGGCTAGCTTGAAAAAGAGAGCCTTTTACTGGGAAATGGCCTGGCCCTGGCGTTCGATGCTGACCTGTGTGAATAGAAACCGCTTGCTATCTATTAATTTCCCACAGAGAAACCCTTATGAATGCAATAATGCCTTTATTTCCTGTTTGATTCAGCGAGACATAATTGTAAGAATAATTTGGAATTTGGAAAGGACTCAGTTCTGGGTGAAAAACGCTGGGTCCTTTTCCGAGGTAAACCATACTTGGTCTCGTACTGTGCCTCTGATCCTAACAAACTAGTTTCACGTGTGCATCTGCCTTTCTCCCTACCTAGTCTTCTGGGTTCCATGTTTCCCATGCCACGAGTGATCTACGCCATGGCCGAAGATGGACTGCTGTTTAAATCTTTGGCCAAGATCAATGATAGAACCAAAACACCAGTAATTGCCACGCTAGCCTCAGGGGCTATTGCTGGTAAGTACCGGAACCCCTGGGTTTTTACCTCCAGGATTTTAACAAAAATTATCATTTCCCAGGCAGACATCTTAAATTGTGCCACTCTGTGAGCAGTTGTAATTATGCTTTTTAACTGTTGGTTTTTATACTTGGAACCTGTTTGTTGAAAGACAGCTGCCCCTCTGGCCAAAGACAGAGAAGTTTTATGGAATGTGATGTGACAGAATTTGCAGTGTATTATTCCTGTGAGATTGTGGTGTTTGTTCATGAAGTATTTGCCTACACCTGTATCTTCAACAGTACTACCTATTCTATTTTCCAGCAAAGTTAATGTCTCAGTTTTAATATTTAGATCTTTGATCCATTTCAATTTTAGTTTAGGACATGGTGAAATATATGGGGCTAGTTTTAATCTTTGGCATGTAGAAAGCCAAATTTTCCAGCACCATTTATTAAAGGGCTATCTTTCTTCAGGTGCCAAATACTTTTAAGAAAGACACGGGGGCCGAGTATGTCTGGAGTTCTTTTCATCTTTTGATCAGTTCCCTTGATCTTTGGGTCTGGTTTTTGCTATTGTTGTTTTGTTAGTGCCATGCTGTTTTTATCATAGGAGCTTTATAGCATAATTTCAAGTCAGGGATTGTGTACCTTCTACCTTGTCTTTGTTGGCCAAAATTGCCTTTGCTATTCTAGGTCTCTTCTGGTTCCAGATGAATTTTAGGATTGTATTCTCTCATTCTGTGAGATATGCTGTTAGGAGATTTTGATTGGGGTTGTATTAGATCTGTGTAACAATTTTGAAAGCATGGCCATTTTCACTATATTGGTTCTTCCTACATGACAGTAAGGGATATCTTTCCATTTTCTGATGTCCTCTTCCATCTTTTTAGGAGTGCTGTAGTTTTCAACATAAAGGTTTATACTTCCCTTGTTAGATTCCTGGGTATTTCAGTTTTTGAATGCTGTTGTGAAAGATGTTGTTTCCCTAATTTCTCTCTCACTGAGTTTGTTATTCATGTACAAGAAGTTGATTTTTTTTTTTTTTTTTTTGTCTATTTTTGAGACAGGGTCTCGCTATACAGTCAGGCTGGCCTTGAGCTCACTTTGTAGCCCAGGCTGATCTTGAACTCAAAACAATCCTCTTGCCTCAGCCTCCCGAGTGCCAGGGTGAGCCACCACGCCCAGCTAAGTCTGTTGATTTTTAAGTGTTGACTTTGTGTCCAGCTATGCTACTGAATGTGTGTATTAAATCTAGAAATCCTTTGAGAGCTTTTGGAGTCTTCTATGTAGAGTATCGTGTAATCCACAAATACTGATGATTCACCTTCTTCCTCTCCTGTCTTTATTACTCTTATATCCCTCTCTTGTCTAATTGCTGTGGCTAACGTGTCCACAATTATATTGAATAGGAGTGGTGGCTGTGTATGTCTTGCTCCTGATTTTAGAGTGACAGCGTTCAGTTTTTGACCATTTAGTACAATGTTTGGCTGTTGGTTTGTCGGAGATGGCTTTTATCAGATTGAGATAAGGACCTTCTGTAGGTTCTGCAGGTTCTGTAGTTTTCGTCATGCATGGGTGTTAGACTTCATCAGATGATTTTTCTGCATCTATTGAGGTGATCATGTGGTTTCTGTCCTTGGGTCTTTTAATATGGTGTTTTACATTTATTGATTTGTATGTGTTGAACCATCCCTGCATCCCCGGGATGAATTCTACTTGGTCATGGTGTATAATGTTCTTGACGAGTTGCTGTTGCCTGTGTGTTACTGAGAACTTTTGTATCTGTGTTCATGAAGGAGATTGCCCTATAGATCTTTTTGTTTTAGTTGGATTCCTCTCTGCATTTGATAGCAGGGTAATGTTTGCTTCCAGGAATGAATTTGGGAGTCTTACTTCCCTTTCAGTTTCGTTGAAGAGTGTCAGAATTAGAGACATGGTCTTCTCTAAATGTCTTGTAGAATTCAGGAGTGAATCCATCAGAACCTGGACTTTTTTTTTGGGGGGGGGATGATAGGTTTTTAATTATATCATCAATTTCATTGATACTGGTTTATTTAGGATTTTTATATCTTATTGACTCCTTGGACAAGTGATCTGTGTCTAGGAATTTGTCCATTTCTTCTATTTTGCATCTTATTAGAACACAGGTTCTTGAGGGTAGATACTGATGATCTTCTGGATTTCTGTAAGATCTATTGTATTTTATACCCTTTTCATTCCTAATATCTTTCTTTTCTTTTCTTCTTTTTTTTTTTTTTTTTTTTTTGGGTAACAAGACTAGAACTCATGACCTTGCCCTTGCCAGGCAGGCACTTACGTTGCTGACCTGTATCCCTGGCCGGCCGGCTGGCTGGCTGGCTGGCTAGGTTTCTTTCTTTCTTTCTTTCTTTCTTTCTTTCTTTCTTTCTTTCTTTCTTTCTTTCTTTCTTTCTTTCTTTTTTTGGATAAGGTTGGATAAGGGTTTGTTGATAGCACATTGACATCTTGCATTACACAAACCAAGTAAGACTTGCGGTTATTTCCTAGAAATCAACTGCATACCATAGCTCATAGATTCTTGGGAAAATGAGTGTCACTCACGCCAGTCATTTATAAAATGTGCCACTAATTCACACAGGATGTTGAGGATGTTGCTGATAAAGCCATTTGCCCCTAATTTTGTAAGTAATAGCAGACCTGCAGGTGGTTGCTTTTTCTAGTCAGGTTTATCCCTGAGAGGACAGTTGTGACCAGTGAAGTCACCAAAGAACCCTGTAACCCTGATGGAGGAAGGAGGTGGAGGCTATGCAGTGCTCACTGCTGTTTGCTGTTTTGTTTTCATTGTTTGATGACTGCATGTTAGAGTCCTAAGAGCCAGCTACCAGCCTACGTACGAGTGAAGAAATAGAGGCCAGAGCAACACAGGGAGGGTGCATACCCGGAACTGGCTCCTGTTCCTGGTTTGTGTTCATGCCAAAAGCAACCAAGTTTCTTCCAGGGTCTGAGGTCAGTGGCGGCTTTTTTGGGTAAATTAAGGCATGTGGTACCAGTCATAATAATGTGTACCTCAGTGACCCTCAGTCATCTGATGAAATAAAGTAATTATTCACTGATTTTATTAGCATGTGTACCTTTCACAAAGTGTACTTAGTTTTGTGGATTATTGTTATATGAAAGAAGGAAGCAATTTTTATATATTTAGCAAGTTTTTTGACTAGTTCTCCCCTTCTGTGAGTGATCGCAGTGTTCAGTTTGACCTACATGTTCTGTATGTCAGAATATGTCCAGTGTAATCAAATGATTAGAGAATTGGAAACAGCCGGTTTTTTCAGTGTCTACATATAACTTCCTTTCTGTGCCAATTGAACTATAATCTTTCAAGTGATTATAAAGTATGTACCATTCACCAAACCAAGGATTTGCAGTTTCTTTTCATTTGATGGGAGCATAAGTAAGTATCTGGTTTTCTAAAATCATCTCACACGGAAAAAACTTGTTTCAGGCTTCTCTGCAGAGAGGAATGTAGGCATTTGTGGCATGCACAGTGGGATACTTCTCTAATTATCCAGAGGCAGTCACCGCTCTTTAATCATATTATTTATCCTCAATTTAAGTTTGTTTGACTTGCAGCGATCAAGTGAGGCTTCAGAGGTATTTGTGGAAAAATAATGGTTTCATGTTTCTGTTTTAACTTGTATTAATTGCATGTGTTTTGAAAACATTTCAAAGTAGGACTTGGCAATTATTATTTAAATGGGAAATTTGACACACATATCAACATAAATAGAAGCATGTATGCTTGTAAAAAGATTTTCGGGTAAAAATGCATGTGTGCATTATGATTAGGGTTATTTGTAGTACTGGAGGTTGAACTGAGGGTCTTGTACACATGAGACAAGTGTTGCACCACTGTGTTACACATCCTCCTCAAGCATGCATGTTTGGTCTTTAAAGCTGGTTTGTGTGTGTGTGTGTGAGATATCACTGGGGATAGTTCTGCAGATTTCTTGCTTGTGATTTCACACATGAAGAACAGCTGCTTTCCTGGCTCACCTGTCTGAGTTAAGAGCTCCTCGAGTCCTCGTACAGATCAGGTTTGCCCTGTTTGCCACCCATCATGATTACCTATGATACTGCCAGGGAGGCCAGGAGTTGTGATCTGCCCTGTTTAGTAGTGTGTACCCTAAGGGACTGGCAGACTCTCCATCAGTGTTGTGTGGAGGGTGCGTGGGTGAGTGGAGATGAATGGATGGGCAATGACTTGCTAGGTGGTGGACCGATGATTCATATGTAGATGATGGGTGGAGGATGGATAGATGGAGCATTGAGTAGATGGAGGGGTGGGAGGCTCCTGGCTCTTCTAGTCACTGGTTATTTGACTTGAGATGTTTCCTATCCTGTCTGAACTTAATTTCTTCATTGATGGTGTAGGTGTGATTGCAAAGTTGTGAAGATCAAAAAAGGATGAAAGTATTTTGTATATGAATGTTTACTGTTATTGCTGTATGAGGGATTGTGCCTGTGTTTTAACCCAGAAGTGGTCTTCCCTGGAAGAAGTGATTCTCCATGGAAAGTCGGTGGTTGGGCTGGGAATAAATAGCATCCCTTGCATACGCTGGGTCACTGCTAGTCACTGGTTCTGGACGTTGATGTGTGCAGAGGACTCTCCATAGATCCCACTGTCTGTCTTCCCAGCTGTGATGGCCTTCCTCTTTGACCTGAAGGACTTGGTGGACCTCATGTCCATCGGCACTCTCCTGGCTTACTCTCTGGTGGCTGCCTGTGTGTTGGTCTTAAGGTATGTATAGTTTTCTGGCCTCCGTGGCAATGCGGATACACCAAGGTTGCTATGTAACTTTTACATTGGTCATAGCTTAATTGGGGGCTCCCACGGAGTGGATGGGATATAATGGAGGACCTGGTTGGGAGGATGTACTAGAAAAGAGTCAGGGGTCACTCCTACCTCCCTCTGTAATGCACCCCCAAATACCTGGCTAATAGTTTCGCAGCTCCACTGATATGTGTGGGTCCTAGGATCACAGTTTTTGAGGGCTTAGGGTAATGGAATGGCTGCAGCTGGTCCAGAGGGACAGGGGGTTTGGGGTTGACCTTCAGAAAACTGGGAGACCAGGACCTGTGCATGCTTCTGTAGACTGGTTTTCTTGTAGATGGGGGAATGAATCCCAAAAGATGGTGCAGAGTGGCCTAGGTGGTGGTCATGAACACTTTACAGATTTTGACTGTTTTTCTCTTGAAACACTAAACAGCTCATGGCCTAAACTTGGTGTCCTGGTATTCTCACCCACCCCAGGGCCCCCTGCTCCCCTAAGCACATGCTTGGACTCCATTACTCTCTGCTGTGGGAAAAACTCCACTTCCGAGATGGCCAAAAACAGCATTTATTATGTTGGTCATCCAGCAAGAGCGTTCTTATTTCTTGTCAGGAATTTGTACTTTCAAAGCTGCTGATTACATGTTTGCTGTACTCAGCACTTGCTTTAATAAAAGCCTAAGCTGAGCCTAAGCAGCGACTTTGTAGAATCAGCAAAAATTAGCAGATCCCTCATCTCTCCCCAGGCTCAACACTAGAATGTTCTCTGAGGTCTCTCCACTTTCTTGATTGACCCAGTCGTGTTGAACAAGTGAGTCAGTGCAAAAATGATGACTGTCTTTATGCTCACTCTTCAAGTTGAGTTTATGCAAAATGTTTCAGAAAGCACTCTGTTTTTCAAAGCTGGTGGAGATTCGCACCCCGTACATTTTGCGTGGGAAGATAAGGCACCTCATTTTAAAATGGATGCTTTATTTACAGGTAGCTTGTGTCTTGGGCATAATGTCACCCAGCTCCAGGGAGTTATTTACTCCAAGGCGCTTGGAGTTGTAGGCTAAATTGATCCATAGATCATACACATAGAGTTTCTCAAATTCGGCAGCCTATAGACATAACTGTCTGGTTCTCTGCAACAAATAGGATCCTACTATCATAGCTTTCTATTTCCGTCCTATCCTTTAGCTTGCTGTGTCTGTGGTTTTGTGGAAAGTGGCCTCACATCTTAACATCCAAGAGCCACAGAGCGAGAGAAATCCTCCCACGATGTTGCAGTGGGCTGCATCACAGTGGAGCTCGTGTTCTCCGCAGCACAGGGACATCAAGTGAGAGAGCTGCTCAGAAGCAGGAAGGAGGCCCCAGGCGGCTCTTCCTCCCCTTCCACATGGCTCGAGAACGCACCCTTCTGACTGTGTCTTTCCTATCGTACACCTTGTGTCCCAGGCAGTTTTCCTCTGCAGGCTTCCTAAGAACTTAAATGAGTGCATGACCTTTTGTTTAATGCAAGCCTATTACAGTGGTCATACACCCCCTGTTTCCTTACAGGTATCAGCCAGAGCAGCCTAACCTGGTATACCAGATGACCAGAACAACCGACGAGCTGGATCAAGTTGACCAGAATGAACTTGTGAGCACCAGTGATTCCCAGGCAGGCTTTTTACCAAAAGCAGAGACGTTATCTTTAAAAAGCATACTCAAACCTAAAAATACGGAGCCCTCCAAATTATCTGGACTGGTTGTGAACGTTTCAGCCAGCCTCGTAGGTAAGCCTCGTCCCTTCCTGTTCTGGGTCTGGAGTCTTGCTTGTTGGTATTGCATGTTGTCTTGTTAGTGGGACTAGACACGGAGTGGGGGTGTTTCTGGAGATGTCTGTTTTGGTACTTGACTGTGACTGTAACAGCAGTTTTTCTGTCCTAATGATAGTCAGTACCACCCTCTGGACGGGTTTAGGGGAGAACCGAGGATACCTGTGGGGACTGGCAAAATGGCTCTCTGTTTGTCTTCCTTTAGTTATTTTCATCCTCACTGTGTGCATTGTGGCTGTGATTGGAAGAGAGGCTCTGGGCAAAGGGGAGCTGTGGGCAATCCTTGTGGTCACGAGTACAGCCCTTCTCAGTGTGATGACCATGGGTGTCATCTGGAGGCAGCCCGAGAGCAAGACCAAGCTTTCATTTAAGGTGAGCAGCTTGGCCTGATGGGCCTGTGGGGAATTTCCGGGTAGGCTGAGAACCTGGCCCTCTTGCTGGGTGGCTGACCCTGCATGGGTGCCCCAAGAGGCCTCTGAGAATGTGGGATGTGGTGTTTCCGACCCAAAGAGCGCCTGCTGAGCAAGGACCTGCCTCTGGAAGGACAGGATGGACCTGAATCCCCCCCACTGACCGTGGCTCTCAGAGTGGGCACATCTTGTCCAGGGGGCCATCGCATATCACTTCCAAGCCTTGGAGAAGACCAGGCCTCTGGGTTTTTTTAAGTTGTACAAATACTAAAATAATTTACCCTTGAGATACAGTGGAAACCCTCTTCTAGTTCTTTCTTTAACAGGAGAGTAAAAAGAGAGGAAAATCAGACTGAACTCACTCTGGCAGTTGGTAGCTTAGAGCCAAACTCCCGCGTGTGTTGCCTGTGTTTGGGGGCGTGGCCTGGTAGGTGTGGGTTTGTGTTAGGGTGGGCACTCTGTCAGATCTGACCCCACCTCCTGTCCCTGCAGGTGCCCTTCTTGCCGGTGCTCCCCATCCTGAGCATTTTCGTGAACATCTATCTCATGATGCAGCTGGACCAGGGCACTTGGGTCCGGTTTGCCGTCTGGATGCTGATAGGTACGTGGGTCGGGGGTTTGCGTCAGCAAACACATTCGGTGCCCTCGTTTCTCATGCGGGCCTCCCCGTACCATCTGAGGCTGTGCAGGGGCTGCACACCTGTCTTCCCCACTACTTGGCTGCATGTTTACTGTCATAGAACCTTCTTTGTTCCAGACTTGTAACACAAGGAAAACTATTAAGTTCCCAGTAGACTGTGGGTCCTCCTTCCACTTTTCATCATAATAGTCTGTTGCCAAGCCACTTGTCTCATCAGGCCAGAGCTTGCGCACGAGGCCAGGAGTACTGTCGAGGCCTCCGTTACGCCAGATGGGAAAATCTAGGCTATGCCTCCCTCACCTGTCAGGCCCTCCCAGATATGAATGGGGCCAGACTCCTGGCTTCTTTGCAGAAAGGCCGAGGGGAGGTGTGGCCAGGGCTCTTGCAGGGACAACAGCTGTGTTGTTTCTGATAGTAGATGACCAGGGATGGGGACCGCAGACGCGTCTGAGGCCCAGCTGCTTGCTTGCTGGTAAACATCTCGGCTGTCTGCATCGTGTTCCCTCCAGGACTGGAGGTGGTAGACTGACTCATCATTTCCCCTCAGTGTCTTCGTTCTTACGCTGATGCCAAGGGGCCAGCCTGGACCTTTGCCCATGAGTACTGTCCCAGCCAAGATCCTCAGTTGTGGATTCAGATGCTATAGTGCTGGTGGCTGCTGCCTCTTGGCCTTCTGGAGCTCACGAGAGACCCTTTTTCTTGTGGGCTACACTGCTCTATCGTCCCAGAGACGGGTCCATCTCATTCTCCACCCAGTGCAGCCCATGTCTAATTAGACAGACTCGCTTGTCCACTCTTGTAGGAGTGGACACCTTTCCACCATACTGGTACAAATCCTTGTATTCCAGAGCGTAAGGTCCCTTCCTGGGCTCCCACTGTCCATGTCTCTGGTCATCTGGTCGTGATTCCTCCATAGGTGGTTAGAAGTGGATTCCTCCACTACAGATGGGGCTCTCTGAAAGGACCTGCATGCTTTGCCGTAGTAGACACAACCCTGTCCCCTTGGCTGAGCTCTGAAGAACCACGTTTCTACAGCTGCAGGGGACAGCCCTGGCGGCACTCTGTGACTGAATCCGGCCTGCATAGGCTGCACTGCCTACTGTCCTCACGCCACCCTTCTGTCTTGGCCCGCAGGCTTCATCATCTACTTCGGCTATGGGCTGTGGCACAGTGAGGAGGCATCCCTGGCTGCTGAGCAGGCAAGGACTCCTGATGGCAATTTGGACCAGTGCAAGTGACCTGCAGCCCTGCCCGCTGGAGGTGGCAGCAGTCCCGAGAGATAGCCACAGAGGACAGGGAGGTACTCCCTCTCTCTACTGATGGAACAGGAACCACCTGTATCTCTATCTGTGACACCCCAAAGCCACCGAAGGTGCAGCTGGTCGGACTGCAGCCTCAGCCATAGCCAGCGTGCCTGGCCAGATCTGGCCCTGCAGCCGCCTCACGAGGGCCTGGACATCTCTGACAGCTCCCTGACCCAAGCCACTTAGCTGTGGCTGGCCACCTGTCGCCTCACTCCCTCTGAACAGAAAACTCGACCCTGCCCCACCAGCTCATCCTTGCTGCTGCGTCTTGGGAAGAAGACAGAAGTCTTGTCTCCTACTTTGGCACAGACCTCTCTCCCCGCACCGCTCTGGTATTGCAGATGTACAGATCCCAGACTTTTGGTAGCCGTCTTCCCCTTCAGCCCTGAAAGCTGGCCTTAGATCCAGGATGAGTACCACACAGTCACCGCTGTGCCACCCCTCGAGCCACTCCTGCCCTCTGAGTTGCTTCCAGATGGGCCATTAGGATGGGGCTTCTCCCTGTTCTCCGTCCGAGCAGGGCTTTGTTCTGCGTGGTGATGGAGGGGTCCAGCCCGTGGCACAGCAGCAGGATTGGGGCAGGTGACTTGTTTTTGCACGGAAAAGGGGGCGGCTCCGCTGGGAACAGGAGCACCGGGGTGGGGGAGGGCTGGCTCTGCTCACGTGTGAGCGTAAACCAGGGCGGTCTCCAGTCCCCTGCCCTCCAGGACCGGCACAGCTCCTGCTGCTCTTGTGTCTGTCTCCACTGCCTGTGTGTTCTGAGAAACTGGAACGTGAGACTGTTTGTGTAGAACTGGTCTCGGGTTGGCAGAGCTAAGGACTCTGTTTCCCTTGGGTCTTTGCCATTTACTGAGTTGTATTAGTCTTAAAAGAGTCTCAGGACAGGTGGCGGCTCAGTGTGGGGTCATAATGCTTCTGGCTCCAATCCGGTCTGTGTGACCTCTTACATGAAATGAAATTGAATCCTCCTGTTAGTTGCCATGAATCACTCCACCAAGTTAAGTTGGGGCTTAACGTTAACTTGAAAAATGGCCAAATGATTAGCACATGCCATCGGCATGTGGTTCAGGGTGTGTGGTCCACATGCGAGCTCTCACAGTCTTAGGGTCCCTCCTGTGTCTGTCTTACAAATGCCGTGGCTTTGCAGATGGTGAGATTCTGTATAAGACCTGGACCTTTGCCTCCATAGGTCTGGGAGCTGTGGGTCCAGCCAGGATGCCAGTGTGGCTTTGTGGCTCCCTTGTGTACATCCTGCACCCCTCCCCTTCCCTGTAGTTTGGGTGGGGCCACAGTCCGAACCATGTGAGGCACTCCTTGTAGATTGAAGCCTTGGGACAAGAGAAGATGCATGGAGCCTCATTTCCACGTGGAACACCGTTCAGAGGCTGGTGTTGATGGGGTGCCGGGAGGTCAGCATTGTAGACACCGTGGGGAGGTAGGAATGGAAGGGAGATCTTGGTTTCAAAGGCAGCACTGGCAGATAAGTTCATAAAACAGCCTGAAGTCTGGCCAGCCCGTGTGGGAGTAGCCACATGGCCAAGAACTAGGCCTTCGCCCCAGACCTAGACCAGCTCGCCTGAAGCTTTATTCTGAAGATCACTCATATTTCAGATGGAGTGTGGTAAGCCCCCCCGCCAAAAGCTTGGGTTTCCAAAGAAAGGTATTTAAATTTATGTAGATTGGTGCTGTAAAATATTTTGATATTAACTTATTTTGTTGGGGTTTAGTTATCTGTTGTCTTCTCAAAGTCTGTTAGCTATCTGCTTGCTTGATTTTTGGGGATTGTTATTTTTCTATGCAGATAAAGATGAGGGAAAGAGGGTATCCAGTGAGGTGGGTAGTGGGGAGAATAGATTTTTTCTTAGCTTTAATTTTTTTTTTTTTTTTTTTTTTTAGCTAAAATTTCTGTATAAGACAGCACCCAGTGGTCCATTTACACCTGACATTCAGGTCACAACCTGCACCCTTCTACAAAATTGAAATATGTATTTTGGGTTTGCCCCTCTACTGACCCTACCATGCCGATGGGCTGACAGTGTGGGATCCCTCCTCCTCCTCACCCTCGCTCAGGCGCCCGCATGGGCTGGGGGGAGAGGGGGTGGTATTCCTGCACCCTTCCTTGTTGGAGGACTGGCTTCCTGGTCTGGAAAGGATGCCCAGGGACTCATGTGAAGAGTACATCGGTCACTGTGCTTTCCTGAAGAACGGGAGGGTACTGTGGCCAGCGGCCTTCCCACCCGTGCAGACAGTTGAGCCTCACAACTTTAGTAGACTTCCTTACAGCATCCCTCACTCTTTCTCCTGAAGTAAACACACACACATACCCTCCCCCAAGCCTCGAAAGTGACCAGTAGTTTCGATTTCTTAATCTTTTGCTCGAATAAGGGTATTCTGAGGTACATGGCTTGACCAATATTTTTCTAAAGACACACACATCCTGCAGGAATATACGTCCACTGTTAACCTGCCACAGCCCCAGAGTCACATTAGAGAGACATTTTCCAATTAGCAAGCATGTCTCTTGTCTCCAGGAGCTCTGCTGAAAAGTGGGGGTGAAGGGCACGTCCAGGGCAGGAGTAGGGCCCCAGTGGGTTGTGGACCTTGCCATGAGGAGGGAACAGTTATCCTGGGAGACCTGGGGCACATGTGTGCGCACATGGACACACACACACACACACACACACACACACACACACACTCTCAGGCTGGCCCTTGTGGGTCAGAGGTTATCTTTCAAACCAAGAGGGAAGAATGGTACACTCTGTTTCCTGGGCTGATTCACAAAGATTGCTAAACTTACACTGTTAGGATTGCCCAAAATTTTCCCCACTTTGGGTTTTATTTTTGCAACTGTAAAAACTCTTTCCATCAAGACTCATCTCTGTCTGGCTGTCAGCCACCTGGTGTGGTTTGCTGATGTAGTGGTTCAGGACCCGCCCACCTGTGACGAGGCCAAAAGTGACTGGGAGGGGCCGGGCTTCTCTACCATCCCTCTTGCCCCAGGCACCGGCATGCTCCCCACCCACAGTGCACCCTGAGGAGACATGTGGCCTGCCTTCACCTTGCCCATTGCGTCTCAAGTGCTGGGGACCAGGTGGGGATACCTGCGTATTACCCATCCCCATCCCCACGCAGGCTGCAATCCGAGCTAGTGTGGGCTCCTGCCTAGCACAGGGTGAGGCTTGGAGACAGCTGTGAGTATTGGGCAGAAAGTGGGGTTTTTGGGGTATAGGGACATACCCTGTAAAGGCCCCACCCAAACTCCTAGGCAAGGTTGGGGCACTGCCATGTGTACAAACCTCAGAGCTGGAGAAAGTCTGCCGGGGCCATCTGTGTGACTTGAATGCCCCTTGCTGTCACAGACACCCACTCCGTCAGAGCCAATGCCCTGAAGACAGCCAGGGGCCTAGGCCGGGGTTCCCGTCCCTGGCTGTGGAGCAGCGTGGCTGGGCCCACACTGGCGGGCTCTCAAGCTGCTGGCACCGTGTGCAGAACTGTTACCGAGTTCAAGCTCAAGCAGAACCGAGTATGTGTTATGTGTAACTGTTGTATACAATTTAAACTCTATCTTTTGCCATCGTAATGAGTGTACTCAATGGAAGGCTCCAAAGGGAGAGCAAAATGTATATTTTGTCAGACTTTTATGGGGCCACGAAATGTTTTATTGATGCAGTGGTACAAAGTGGGGCCCTCCAGCTGTCACTGTGGTGATGGTGCCTGATGGATTTTTAAGGCAAGAATGCCCACTCGCTGCCACCGGCATCCCTGGTCCGGAGCTGGGTTGTGCCCACAGGGAAGGGTCTCACGGTTACCGAAGGGCCTCTGTGGGTCACCCCATGTGTGCCAGGACCAGGGCCAGCCTGCAGGAGACGCAGACCTGGTCCCAGCAGATGTCCTCAGGGACTCAGTGCCTCTAGCAGGGTCCAAAGCAGGACTGGGAAGACACGTTCAGACTTTATGAACTTGTAACAAGGCATATGATTTCATGTTTCTTGATGACAAATTTTCTAATTTTGGGACTTATTTTCCCATGTGAGAAGTTATAATATATTTAAGGTGTTTCGTGCTTCAGTTGTGCCTTCCAGCGTCCACGGGTTAAGGATCACAGAGGGTCATGATGCAAATGACGAGGCTGGTTTCTTAGCACACCCTGGACAGCTGTGGATTCTCCAGTAAATTTTTTTCTGCTACTGAACATGGAGCCATTATTAAAAGTCAATGTGTTTTTTATTATGTAAATTGTATGATATTTTTTGCTTGTTTAATGTTCTATTTTTCTAATAGTTTCTTATAAGGTGATACTAGATATAGATTCTGACGCTAAAGGCAAATCACATGGGTCTCTGCTGGGCCCCTCCCATGTATATTTTATTTTTAAGGACAAGTACAGGTGTTGCCCATCACCTTTAAAAAATGTGAAACTGCTGTTTCCCCTTTTTCCAGACCACACTGTAAACTGACAACTTCCTACCATCCTTTATGTTATAAAGTCAAATTATTTTGTGGTACATTATCTCATGCTTCTGCAGATGCTAATAAATTCTCTCTATGGCTGCCACGTGTACTTTGGAGTCTCAGGAACTCTGTCTGCTGTCGGCGGGTCCCAAGCCTGCCCTGCCCCAGGAGTTTCCGGATCTTGCAGCTTTCTCCACCCTACTGGTAGGGCCTTGCATTCTTGCACTGGGGGCGAGGTCCTTTCATGCTGACTACCTTGACCTCAACTGAGGGATCCCTCCACCCTTATCTGGGCCCTTGTGCTGCTGTCTCCTTCCTATCTCCCACCCCATGTCCAGGCCCGCCTGATCTGGGGCCTCAGTGGTCATGGGGCACGTACTGGAGGGCTTGGGCCTTGGCAGGGTCCCCTCACTGATGCCTCCTGCACCATTTGTTGACGGGAACAAGTTGCATGCAGGAGGGAGCACAGGCGTGGGGCAGGGATTGTAGCTGTCCTAACCGTGTCTATCACTTCCTCAACTGCCAAGAATGAAGGCAGTTTTTGTACCAGATGTCGATTCAACGAGGCAGCCTTAATTTCCCCAAACTGAGAGCCTCGATTCATAGGGAATGTACTGGGAGATAAAGTGACTGGAGAGGCAAGGTTTCACCTCGAACTTGTTTGGCTGATGGGTGGCGCGGGGGCAGACACCCAGAGCAGCCAGCTGCTGCCTTCTGGGCCCAGCATGTTTATGTTGAGGATTAGGTGACAAGAATCCGTACTGGAGCACCCTGCACACATCTCTTCTTCCTTGGCTGCTTGGGGGAGCAGAGCTCAGAGTGTGGGTGGTGTGAAAACGAGGCTGTTCAGTGTGTCTGAGGGGACAAGGGCCTCCCACTCTCAGTCCCATTGCCAATGGACACAATTTAGAGGGTGCTGAACGAGTCTAGCCTCTATCTTGCAAAATGGGCTGGCTTCACAGAAAATCCCAGAGTTCCCTTTCATTCTGGAATTGGAAAGTAGACACAGGGCATGCCACACTCCTGGATGTCCTCTGGTGTCCCTAAGAAGGTGACCTCTGGTCTTTGAACCTGCTTTGGGCCCAGTGCAAGGTGGAACTGTGGTTCCCGCAGCACTACCCTGCCATCTAGTGGCTGCCATGCGGTGCTGCGTGGGTTGCGCGAAGGGCTGCAGATTTTCCGCCATTTCTTAGAAAACTCAGGCTTCCACAGACCCGAGGGAGCGATTCCAGTCTGAGGCTTGAAAGAATGTCACCTGAAGCAAGCTTTCTCACGTCATCTCTGTGTTACAAAACACCTCTTGTGAATCAAAAGGCTACAAAGGGCTCAGTATGCAAGAGAACTCCAGCCAGGTAAACTGTGCTGACCTTTCAAATCCATCCACCACCATACAGACCCAGGCACCGGCTGCGGTGGGGAGAGAGGGGACCAGCTGTAGATAAGCCCGTCGGCCCCTGTTCAAATTAATTTTTACCAAATTAAGCTTGACTAGCGTGCTGTAAATACAGCTATTAAAAATGCAAGGTGAGCAGAGGCTTCAGGAGTAAAACAGGCTGCACCTTCGCTTACAAAATGAACAGCCCAGCAAAGCTCTGGCATCTCAGTGAAGCCAAACACCTCATTCTGGGGGGCTGAGGGCTGGGTGGGGAAGCAGCAGGAGCAGGGCTGGGGCAACTTTGCCAGGGATGCTTTTCTCTTCTCAGGAATGGGAGAATGTTATTCCTCCTGCACCGCAGGGAGGCGAGGGATGCAGCCCACCCTCCGCCACATTAACCAGAGTGCAGACGGGAAGCTAGGCAGAGGCTGTGCAGCGGAGCTAGGAGCTCGCTCTGGGGTCTGTGGCGTGGTTGCCCCAGAGCGAAGGAGGCGGAGCTGCTAGGAGGGGAGGGGCCTACACACAGGTGCTTAGACCTCCCGCCCTGCTGGCCTGGAAACACTTCGAGATGCAAATAGAGGCATCTCGTGCTGAGATGGGAATGGACATTTTGGCACTCAGAAACTCCCGTTGTTTTTATGTTTGGGGCTAGAGGTTTGAGAGCAGCAGATTGGCTTTTAAAGATATTTAGCAAATGTAAATGAATTGACTCCTAATCTTAACAACTAGAACAGCTTGCCAGTTTTTAGCGATGGTGGGGCAGTGGTATTTGTGCATGTGTTTAACAGCTGAAGTCACTGGAGTGGGCAGGATCCTCACCTCCTGGCCATGCTGGGTGAGAGAATAGGGTGTAATCTCATTGGAGTCAGTCACTGCTTGATGCCCATGCACTGACAGCAACACTAGCTTTGAGAACTGACCTTCAGCTCCCGCTCCAGGTGGGAAGCCATCCAGCTCCACCCTAGAGCTCTGTCTGGTGATTTATACAAATCTCCTACAAGGAGGAGCTGGGCTGGCCAAGGTTCCTTGCTGCAGAGATGGTGACGGATGAGTTGATTTCAAAGGTCTTCTTCAGCCTGTTGCAAATCACTGGAGGACGGGGCAGTGCTCTCCACAGGCAGTTGACACTAATCGTTTCCTGTATGGAAAGTCACCACTTGGCTCCTTCGTTAAAGATGCTGACATTTGCCTGTGTACTGCCCAGGGCGGTGATAAGGAGAGGGGAAAGTGGTTACCATGTAAGTGAAGGGCATTCAGGACATTCCAGAAGACTAATACACTGCAGTATGTTGACGATAAAAGCACTCATCAGTGGTTGTCACTACCAGGAATCTGGGAAGCACAGATGACTAGGGAGGGGACCCTGGGGTGTCCCTCACCAGGTCAGGAAGTGACATGAAGGGATGCTCTGTACAGTGGCTGTTCAGCCATTGCTCATGAGGGCAGAACTGCCACAGTTTCCCTAAAATAGCTGCCCTACAAAGCCACCGCAAGGAACTGGCAAGCCCAGGGACCAATCCTTTGTGAACCCAAGCAATGCAATGTACCTGTGGGCTTCTCTAAGGCTGTGCAGCCCAAACTGAAGGCTGGTGGGATGGGGTGAGCCTTTTCAGGCTGAAATGAAGGAACAGGTTTCCCAGTTACACCTGCGGTATGGGAGAGACAACCACAGATTGCCGGTATCCTGGATTCCTCATCAGAGGGATGGTGTATTTTGAATCCACACCACGAGGGCCATGATGCAAGCAACAGGCCATAGACCAAACTCTTTGAAGGTAGAGAGCCTGCGTCTGAATTTGAAATCAACAGTGAAGGATTTTACTCAATTTTGGGGGGTCTTCTTTCCAGCCAAGTTTCATCCCACTTCAGCTGGGCAGAGCAGAGCCACTGAGCTTCCCCGAATCCAGGGAATAGGGTGCTAAAGACCCTGGTCTTGAGGAGTGGACGGAGAGACCGTGGGCCTGCTGAGTTTGCAGACAGAAGGTCTCTAGTCTTCTCTCAGTGACAATCTGCTGACGCTGGACACACACATATACACACATACACACAGAGACAGAGACAGAGACAGAGACAGAGACAGAGACAGAGAGAAGGAACCCAGGCTGAGAAACACCTCTCTTCCTAGGCTGATAGGGACAAACCTCCCGTTACATCAGATGGATTTCACAGAGAGCCCCTCAAGTTCGTTTTAATAGCTTTCAGAATTAAACACCAATATGCAGTACAGAAACTGGAGGGACAGAACCAGGAGCGTTACGAACCCATTCTGTTAATCCCAGAGAGCGCCAGCTCCCTCCCCATCCTGACGTCCAGCCAGAGCTTCTTCCCAGCCTATGGCAAGCAGAGGGTGGGGCCTGGCCAGCACAGGTGTCCCAAGGGCATGGAAGACACTGGTGCCAGCTGCCACGTCTGTCTGAAGTGGGCAAGGAGGCTGTGGCTTTTACATAGGATAAGGGCGCCAGCCTGAGACAGGCAGATTTCTACGCTGAGAGAGGTCCAGATGCTAATGGGGAGGGGTGGACTATCGAGGAGGAGGTACAGCAGCTACCATCCCCTGTGATTCAGGAGCAGCAATGACTCACGTGAGGAGCCAGAAATGATGGGTGTCCGTGATGAGAAAAACAAAGCCAGGGCCACATGGAAATTAGCTCGAGTGCCCAAGGTCAGGGCCAGTGAGGGCAAAGCTCTAGTCCACCTACCGAGGGATTACTTAGTTCTAACATCACTACGACTTGGACCACGACAGCCTAACACACCATACCACACGCTAACACCACACTGAAGTCCGTATTGCTGTGTAACTGCATTTAGCAGGTGCGGTTATAGAAGCTGGTCCTAATTTTTGGAGAGCTAAGCTACAACCAAACTTGTGTTTGCAGGTTGTACCTGCTAGAATAAATTATTGTGTATTTACTTGACATGGCCCGATCTACTCTAACAGAATTTCCAACTCATTATCAGATTCATGCAGAGCCACTAAAGGAAAAGAACTGTTTCTTTCACGTGAATGTATTGCGTATGTCCCCAGAACGCTCGTGACCCTTGGAGGTTTGCTACAAATGAGGTGTATCTGAGAAGCCAGGAGGCCCAAATGGAGTCATGTAAGGTACACAGACCACGTCTGCCTGTGTCACCATGCTTGTGACTTTAGGCAAGCCAACCCCTTCCATGGGCCATTTCTTCCGGGCTCCATGGTTCTGTTTGCCTTGGACATGCTCAAAGCAGGCCTGCGCTCCGGACAACGCTCAGAGGTCTCAGGGAGGAAAGTGCAGGGGTCTTTGTCGTATACAGAGAACAAAGACATTGTCGTCATCACCCTACTGACTGTCAAAACTACTTTTCTTTTGTGTGTCATGCTCCTAATCCTCCACGGCACTACATAAATACATTTCACATTCTAATTCTATCATTTCAGAGACAAATGCCAGTCCAGTAGCTCGGGACGGCTGGTCGGCTGTTCCGATGGCTCCTCTGTTTGGAGAACCGTCTGGGGCCAAGATGGACCACTGTCAAATACAATGCTTGATCGTTCAGCAGAAGGTACAGCTGAGCTTCTGAGAGGTTGCGTGATGACCTTTCCCCTTTCAGAACTGGTCCTCTCTAACAGAAAGGGTGGTTGTTTGGAAGTCCCTGCCAAAGCCCCTGAGCCATTTCAATATGCAGTGACGGGCTGGAGTTGTAGAACCGAACTGAAGGGGAATTGCCTATGAAATAAGGGCCCGAGGGTCACCTTTCAATGCCTTGACCACGTACAGCATCAGCTCAGAGCAAACCAAATGGAATCATGGAGGCTGCTGTCTAGCTCTGCACCTGGTCAGATATGTACCCTATTGGTCAGCAGCTCCCTTTCACGAGGATGGGATGTGATGGTCTTGGTCACTGCCCAAGTCACCCTCATCCTCACTGTAAAAGGTCCTGCTGCTCTACGTTTTCCCAAGGGCACGATGATCCCTTAGTGACCGATTCCAAGATGCCATTTAGGAAAAAAGCAAAACTGTGTTTACATGATTACAGATGAGTTTCTGTCATGAGTAACGTCAGAAAAACTACCCAACTCCTTAGGGTTTCCCACTTCTAGCCTTCATCTGCTCACGACAGGAGGATTCAGAATTAAAAGTGGCGAATGGAATGATAATGACCTCACATCATGTCGACTAAGAAGCTGATTGTTCCAAAGACAGTTACCACTCGCAAATCGCTGGTGTTTGTGTTAACAGATTACCACTTGGTGGCAGGTTGAAAGGCGCTTCTTCTCTGTATCTGGATTTTTTTTTTCCTTTTTCTATTTTGGGTAGAAATATTCCTAGGAAGCTAGATAGAAATGCGTTTTCATTTCCCAATAATCCTTAGGCACAAATTATAAAACTGCTGATCTTCACTAAAATATGTCAGCACATCACATTATAAAAAATGCAATTCAGAACCGCTGCATGTGTATATATGTGTACCTAAATATATACACATCTTGGTGCAGTACACAATGATTATTCAATGTATATTCAAAACTGAGCTATTTGTAACTAACCTGAAATTCTGCAGTGAAAGTTCGTCATTCAAGAATAATTGGAGTTGTCTTTCTTTTGGCTCTAACTATGATAAAATGTTTTTGCACATCAGACTACCGTTTACATCTTCCTAAGTGCCAGTACCAGGTCAGTCTACACAGGGGTCAGAAGAGGATGCTGCCAGGGGTGCGGTATGCAGCTACTGAGCATGCGCGCAGGGCAGCTGGCCGGCACCTGCCGGCACCTGGTCAGCATTCCCGGGGTGGACAGAAGCTGGAGCCCCTGCAGGCTGCATGGTGACATCATCTGGGCGTGGTGCTGACTCTGGCTGGAGAGGAGGGCCCCGATGAGGAGCCTCGGTAAATTGGGGATGTGGGGGAGAGTTTAATCGGGCTCGTAGGGTCCCCCGTTTGAAGCTTCCAAAGCAGCTCTTCGTTGGTTCTGCTCAGTCTCTTCTTCTCCTGGGTTTCTTTTTCCACATATTCCTGGAGATTAGCGTTTTCCTCTGACAGCTGTCTGCATGGGGAAGGATAACAAGCAGTCAAGCAGCAGGCATGCTAATGATGCTGAACTTGAGATGGGGCCCAGGGGTGCTGCATGGTGAGGCACACTGTCTGCATGTAGATGAGGACCGATCTGCCCCATGGGCCAGGAGCTTGGGTTGAAACGTCATCTCTGGACTGCTGGGACGTCTGCTGCCGGAGGCTGCCTACACTGAATCATCCCATAGGTCCTCTGCAGGTCACAGGCTGTTAGTGACAGCCAAGGCCAGAGGCTGGAGAGGAAAGGGGGAACATGGGCAGCAGGGTGGGGGTACTGCTCACAGGCTCAATGGTACTGGTAGTGTGACCCTGGCACAGGGAGCCGGTGGCCACCAGGTGGTAGAGGATGCCTTCCCTTGGCCTCCAGGACAGCAGATGTCTGTCCTGAAATAGAAGCTGCTCTGTGCATCTGGCTGCCCGCTGGACCGTGAGCCCTTGAGGACAGGACCAAGGCTCTACATAACTGACTTTCTAGCAGTCAACATGACACTGGTACATAACAGATGCATGGTTTACACTTGCTGATAAAGAATCATGAAGGAAAAACCAATCAGTGCTTTTTTTGTCTTTTGTTGTAAAGTCTGAGCTGCTGGCCTTGTTGCATACTTTTGAAATAGCAGCACCTTTAAGGAATTGGCAAGAGTAAGTACCTACACATTTTACAGCTGGACAGACTGAGGCCCAGAAAAGGTACTGCTCTGGGACAAAGCCAGCACTGGCAAGAGCACCTTAAGCAGTCCAGGGTGACACTCAGGCACTTTCTCCCACCCTTGGGCTGTGTCTACAGGGAGGCTGGTGAGACTGTCACCCCAGCTTGGGGCCTGAGGACCCCTTGAGCAGGAGTGATGGGATCTGCTGCCTTGACCTATATGCCTCTGAGGTGGGAACACAATGTCAACACCAGGAGCTTATTGGTGTTGGAGGCAATGGTTCTACGTGTATGTGCCCAAGAGTTTATACGTGTGTGTGTCAGTGCAAGCCTGCAAGTATGAAGGCATATGAGAGCAGGCAAGAATGGTTGTCAGTGTGTGAACGTGAGCACGCATGAGTACAGGTGTGCATGTATGTGTAAGTGAATGTGTGCACGTGACATGTCTTGCCCGTGTGTGTGTGTGTGTGACAGGATGACACAGGAGCCCAGTCCAGGACAAGGGCCAGTGCTCAAGCTAGAGGTACACCACTGGGGCTCAGCTCGAGCTGGCAGAGAAAGTGGGGACCATGCTCTCACCCAGCTCTGAGCGGTACACTCTCCCTCACAAATCAGGCCTCCCCAGAGCAGATCCCATAGGGAAGACCAAGATGGAAGTCTTGGGGTGTCACCTAATGGTGACTCTGCTATATCTGGGAACATCCCACTACTGGTCTTCTCCCAATGTTTCCCAGAAATAAACCCCCACACTCCCTGATGCTGCTGGGGCCCCCCGCTGGCTCCTTTGCTGAGTGTACTCATTCCTGAGGGTAGCAGAGCCCATGCACAGAGTGGGTGGTCATAGCTGTGTGCTTCTGTGCTGCTGGCCATGGGAGAAGCCAAAAGACTGTGTAGGGAGGCCTTACAGCTCACAGCGAGGCCAACTGGACCAAGAACAAGAGACAGCCCAAGGGCAGGGCCTCTTCCAGGGTGACAGCCCAGCTGCCAGGCCCACCTACCTGGTGACAACCGTGTTCTGGTCAATCCTTACTTTGAGGTCTTCATTTTGCTGCTGGAGGACTTGGATCTTTTCTTCCAAGATAACATTCTTTTCAGCCTGTAAGGGAGAAGGTACATAGAGTTTCTCAGTGAGGCCACAGGGAAGGAGGCTCGCCGGGGCCCTCGGTTTCTGGGCTTTGCAGAATTATCAAGAAGAGCATTTTGCAAACTGTAGTTGGCAGTGCACTCGTGGGCTGTAAAATCAGCCTAGAGGGATGTGCCCAGTATTTCTTTTTTAAAGAGACTAAAACAACAGAAAATGCATTGTAGGTAATAAAAGTGAGCACTGATAGGGACATTTTAGATGTACATTTTTATTTCATTTGCTGTGTGTGAATGTATGTGTACTTAGTTCCTGTGCAAATGCTGTATATTTAGTGTATAAACTTCAGAAAACAGCCACAGATAGCACCGGGATCTAGTTTGACCTGCAGGTCCTGTGGTTCTTCCCAAACTGTCAACCACACTGCATCAGGGACTCTGTGCAGGCCGGCACACACTCTCCTGTTCAGAGTCTCCTGAATAAATGGAGGTGTAGAAATATGAGTAATATAGGCACACTTTTTCCTTTTGATCCCCTGGTTATCCAGGAACACAAAGCCAAAGATCAGTTTGGCACATAATGAGAAAATTCCATCATCTTATGGTTGTTAGGACATAAATTTTCCCCACAATTTATGCCATTTTCCTGTTTTTGATCTAGGGCCTGAGACCTACCTGAAGTACAGTTCCATTCTAAGGTGAATTTAGAAATAAATTATTTTTTGAAAGACTGCGACACATTCACTGTTCATGCAGTTAATCTTTAGAGAAAACTGCCACTTACCCATGACTAGGGACTGGGACCTGGAGCCATACGGCTGGTCTCTGTCCTTGATCTTTAGCAAGGGGCCCCACCTGGCCTTTATCTTTGCTCCCAGAAAATGGGAAATGAATAAGCAGTTTCATTTGCCTGGAAAGGCAGGGAGAAGTCATGGGTACCTGTGGTAAAACTAAAAGCAGCCTGATAAGCCCAGGGACATGTGGGCGGCCCTGTGTAGTGTGGCCTTAAGGAGGACAGCTGGTGGCTCTTAAGTCCCCACACTGCAAGGCAGACTGCAAGGCCTGGTCAGGAGGGGGCAGGTGCTTCTGTGAGTTTCCTGTGGGCTCTGGCAGGTGCCTGGAGGTTTGGCGCTTCTGGCATTCGTGGCCCACGTCACCCAGGATGCTGGTAGGTGACACACTGCAGTCTGTCTGCTACCCGACACGCACCCCTGCAATTAGAGATGCCTGCAGGAGGACACAGCTAAGCAGAGAGGGGGCTTGAGAAACAAAGACAACGGGTGCTCCTGGCTGCAAAGGCCATTCCAGAGCCAAATGGACCTGAGATGATCGGTCAGGGACCTGTTAACTGAAAGAAAGTAGGCTACGGAACTCCAGTATAGTGCAATAGTGTGTGTGTGTGTGTGTGTGTGTGTGTGTGTGTGTGTGCGTGTGTGTGTCCAAGAAGCAACTCTGGGAAGAGTTAACAGTAGTAGGAATATGATTTAACTTTCTTAGTTCTGTTTGCTTCATTGTATAATTTTCTACAATTGTATAATTCCCTTTATAGTAGCAAGTGTTTACTTTCAAAGTAGCACTAATAATGAAAATAATAAGAATCAGTCCCGTTAGCTGGTCACCTTGCAGTGGGGAAGGGCATGCGTCTCATGAAGGCAGGCATCTCCACTCCTCACTTTGGACACCACTCTCAGACTCTAGACTGAGCTGGGCCTGCAGCCTCCGTGCAGGAAGAGGGAGCTGGAGAGCTCTGTTTCCCCAGGGGAGCCCCTGGCCACTAGGCAGAGGTGAGGGCAGGATGAGAACAAGGACTTGATTATCAGCCCCTCCCAGATGAGTATGTAGAAACCTCACCCCCAGGTGATGGCATTAAGAGTGGGGCTCCTGGGAAGTAACTGTATCCTCATGACTGGAATCAGTACCCTTGTAGAAGTGGCCCCAGAAAGCTCTCCTGCCCCTTCTGCCTTGTAAGGGTCTGAAACACTTGGTCACTCACTAGGTGTTGGTGAAATGCTTGTCCCCTCCGTAGGCTTCCACCTTGCGTCTATAAGGTGGCTCATGATTGCACGGATTACACCTACGCCCCATGCGCTGTGGAAAAGAACCAAGGCTTTGCAAGGACACGGCACACATTAACCAGGCGTGCTGGTTCACATCTCCTCTCAGGGACAGGGAGGGTGGCCCTTCCCCTGGGAAACCAGGGGAGGGAAGAGGGAGGAGCTCAGAGCTGGATGAAAGGAGGCCATGCCTGAGATTGCTTAGCAGAACCCCCACCTCCCGAGGGGAGCCCTGAGGCTTAGCCATGGAAGATTTTGCTCCGGTGTAGCCAGCGTCAGAGAAGAGGCACGGCTCGCTGAACACTGCTGATGGTGACATCAGTGACAGCAAGAAATTCACAGTGCATGCTCTCCTAAGCAAGTGATCCTACTCACTAGCTTTTCCAGCTCCATAATCTTCTTTTCCTGCTGGTGTATTTGCTGATTCTTCATCTCTAACACCTGCTTCAAGCTCTTCATGTCTTCTTCCAAGTGCTGATAAGGAGCCAGTGCCACCTACGGGGTGAGAGTAATCCACTGTTTCTGGGGTTCCCAGCGGCACCAAGGGTGCTCCAGTGTTAGCTGTCCAGACAAATCTGGTTTTCTGTAACCAGCTACCCAGGGGACAGCTCCAGCCCCGTGAGAGACAGGGTGCTCACAGCAGGATGCCCCTACAGCTCACCACTGAACCCCCCTAAACTTCCAGATGGGAAGTAGGGAACAAGGCACGGCCACAGTGCGCTGGAAAGTCTGAAAATGAGAATTGTGGGCATTGCCAGCCTGTCCCGAGAAATGAGCTCAGGGGGGTAAAGACAGGAAGCCCAGCACCAGCTTTGAACATTTTCCTAAATGATGTGATTCACCAGGAAGCTGGGGTCTCCTGGGTTCCACCTGCGCCCATGGGGAAGCCCTGTCCTGTGCATAGGAAAAGAGCAAATTGGCTTAACCCATAGAAAATCCCTGAAGAAAAACACCAGATATCTATTCATTCAATGGTAATACCAGATAAACAACAGTACAATTTATTTTTAATGGAAGCATTTCAGTGGTAGGTACTTATCTTCAAATCTTTGTCTTTCTACAATTCAAATTTAATGGGGTGTATTTGATCTGGCAGTACTCTATTAAAGGGATGGAGTTCTCCCAGTTTTTCTGGAAAAGTTCTCCTGGTCCTACTAGTTTCCCATGCCAATTTGAAGCACAGTTGAGAGAGCAGTACCGAGGGAGGACCCTGGCCAGGAGGACAAGTTTCCAGACTCCGCCTGTCATGGGATCCCAGGGACGTGTGGGGAGCATGGTGGGATTTGGGGTCAGGAACAGGCTGATAGAGAAACCCGTGCAGTGGTCTGTCTGAGGGAGAGGTGCCGATAGGCACTGTTTAAACAGCCGGGGGAGGACGTGGCCAGCGGTCATTTTGTAGCAGGTCAGCACGAACACCTTGCTCTTGGGCAGGACTGAGGAAGAGGCAGAGGACCTTGTGGTGCAGGGAGCCCTAAAGTCAAGACTACCTCCAGCTGCTCTTCTGTGTTTTTCCTCAAAGCCTCCTCAAAGCGCCGGGCGCGGTCCCGCAAAGACTGGCTCTGGAAGGTCAGTGTGTCCACCTGGTCCTGCAAGTAATGACACAAGATGTCCAGAGCCAGCCACTCGAGAAGCACAACCTGCCACCTCCCTGGGGCTCTTCAGAGGGTTTCACCTGAGCCCCATGTCCATGATGGCAGGAGACCCCACTGCTGACCCTTCTTGATGCTTTGACTACAACAGACACAAAACGTAAGACGAGTGCCTCGGCTACTGAGAAGGCTCATGCAGTGTCTGCTCTCCCACGTGCAGTCTGTAGAGAGGCATCCAGGGCTGATTTTACACGGACCGAGGTTCCTCTACCACAAGAAGAATTGTTCTCAGATACAAAGCTGAAGCCAGAAGTCTTCGCATCAGCCTGGACCTCCTTCTCTGAGACCCATTCTATCACCAGCACCGAAACAAAGGAGTCAAGGATCGGTCAAGTCCCACGGCTCTGCCCGGTCAAGTTCCCTCCCTGCCAGCCCTTCTGGGTAAGAGCTTCTCCACAGGCTCCTTCCTGGCCTCCTACCCTGCCCTGCATGACTGCTCTTCTGCCTTCCGGAAAGAGTCAGGCTCCTTCTGAAGTGCAGACACAAACGTGTCCCCAGCTACACCTGTAACACCTGCATATGTTCTTCCCTGCAGCAGCGACAGAGCTGGCCTCAGGGTTACACAGCTGGCATCTCATATCCTGGTGCCTTCCATCAATTCCCTCTCCTTCCTGCTCATTTCTGGCCCTGGCCTCGCAGCTGATACAAGCTACCACAAGAGCTGCACCATCCGCTCTCCCCTCCGTTTAGACTCTAGCCCCCAACTAGCCAGACACCCCTGACCCCAGCGTGCACCACAGTGGAGCAGCTCTCCATGTAGCCTGAAAGACTGAAGGTCCTTTCCGAGGACATGCTGAGCTCCTTCCCCACGGCAGTGATGCTGACTCCTCCCTCCTAACCTCAGCCATGGCTCTCATTACCACGGGGTACAGAGGACACAGGACACTGGTTGTTGGTTTTGTCCTGAAGCCTGAGGAGAGCCTCAGTCCTGCACATCCTGCCCGGATCACCCGAAGTGTCCGCCCCTCCATCCTTTGCCTGTAACCCTAAAATGCAGGGACCGCAGCACTCTGGGGACTCTTCTAGGAAGGGAATTGGCCTCACTCAGGCAGGCTCTTTTTCCTAATTCTTTTCTTTTTCTCCTATTTACTTTCATTTCATTTTTAAACACTAAAAGTTTTTATATACTAGATATATAAAAGTTTTTATGATATATATATATATATATATATATATATATATATATTAGAGCAGCAGACTTGTCAATGGGAGTTTGTGCACACAGGAGTCTAGAAATCACGGCCCAGGGCAGCCCCACAGGCCAGGTTCAAGTCCCCAGCACTGCACACTTCCCTTCCACAAGGGGACTACCCGTGTCATTACCTGGCTCCCGCACCACACTTCCTGCGTGCTATACAGGGAAACGTGCCTCTGAAACTTCTTCCCACCATTACAAAGCGAAGCCACAGAAACCTCACCGGGCAGTCACTACCCAGGACGGCTCTAAAACAGCAGGCTGGGATTTCCCTGCCTGCTTTGCCATTATTCAGAACAAACCCACAGGGACAGATGGGGCTGCTGCACTCAGACAGGACAGACTGATTTTCAGCTTCGATGGCTACTTTATGTTAGCGTAAGGGGCAAAAAGATCCAGCTGGTGGCCAGATGAGGTATAGGTCATGGAAGAAATCAACAAACGGCAGGCAGTATGAGAATAGCGATGATCATAAACGTAACAATGCTTGTAGTTATTAAAATAGCAATGGCTGCTACTTAGACTTATTGGCACTTACCGCAAGCCAACCCAGTGCTATTATCCTCAGCTGCTGGCTTGATTGCCTCCCTTCCTCTCCCCTTTCCTCCCCTCCCCTCCCCTCCTCTCTCTTTTCCTCTCCTCCCCTCCCCTCCCCTCTCCTCCTCTTCCCTCCCCTCCCCTCCCCTCCCCTCCCCTCCCCTCCCCTTCCCTTCCCTTCCCTTTTCTCTTCTTTCTTTGGTACTGGAGACTGTACCCAGGGTGCCCTCCCACTGAGCTAAGGCCCCAGCCCTTTTTATTTTTAAGTTTGAGACAGGTTCTCACGAAGTTGCTAGGCTAGCCCCAAACTTACGATCTTTCTGCCTCCGTCTCCCCAGTGGCCGAGATGACAGTTGTATGCCACCCGGACCTGAGTACTATTTACCCTTGACACCTTCTTTCTCTTAATCTGCTCTTCCTTGAGAACAATTTTGCTATCATACCCATGTCAAAAGTGAGTGAACTGAGGTTTATAGGGCCTGTATAACTGTCCAAGATCTCAAAGTTAGGAAGAGCAGGCAGAGCAGGGATTTAAACTCCAACCTCAAATCTCTACACCCCCACACTATTCTCTTCCAGCTGCTAGGAGCCCAGGGAAGTATGACCACATTGCTTCAGGCAACAGTCTCCAGCCCCAGTGGATTCTGCCAGGTGGAGAGTTACATTTAAGTACTCGGAACTCATGGTCACTGATGCTATTAGCACAAGGAAGACTCAGTGGTGAAAAAAAATTTTTTTTGGCCTTTTTGGGCCTTGGATCTGGGGCCTCATGAACGTTAGGCAAGCTCCCTGCCACTGAGCTACCTTCCCAACCCCTAAAATGTTTGAATCACTCACTTGACAGCTGTGACATGGGGTAGCTCTACAATTCTGGACTCTTCTGGCAGGGCAGCTCCAGGTGACACAGGCTGCCAGAGGACAGAGCCATCATCAAAGAAGCAAGATCCCTTCCTGTGTCCTGTGGTTATAGGGAAAACCTTCCACAACTTCCAGATAGAACTGTCCTTGATATTCAGTGAGCAATCTGGGTGTGATCAGGATTTCTACACTGGGAACTGTGCTGCCCACCTCACCCCTGCTTCCAGATGGCTCCTCCCCAGGGCTGGGAGCCACAGTGGCTTTTCCCAGAAGAATAGCTGGGCTGGGTCTCTGGAGATCATGAAACCTGGGAAACCCTGCAATCTTCTCTTAATCAGGGCAGCTCTTCGAGCATCTGAGACCAACATTTTCTTTAGGCAGCAGGGAGAGGCAACAGTGGATTTTCATCTCACCCACTTCTAAAGTCTCTAAAGTCTGGTGTGAACATTCTGATTTCACAACCTGAACCCCTCACCTGCTAGACTCATGTCTGCCCCACATCCTCCCTTTTCTAAAAACCCAGCTTAATTGCTGCACAGACATCTCTGATCAGATCAGCTGCTGAGGAAACCTCCTGAGCTTCCGTAGGGCCCCAGCCACACTCTTCTTCTGATCCAGCTGGGTGTTCGCTTTCAGTGTTGTCTGCTGCTATTTGTGGCACATCTCTGAGTGGCCGGCCAACTCCTAACAGGCCAAGAAGATGTCTTATTGTCTTTGTATTTCAGTGTTTTATTCAGGAGCTAGTACACAGTGGGTGCTAGATAAACCTTGGTGAGCAGGATTAATGATGCTTCATAAGAAAATAAAGAAAAGCTAACCTGCAGCGACAGCCTCAGTTTTTCAAAATTTTCTTCCAATTCTTTCTTTTCAAGTTCATGGGTAGACACCAGTTCTGGAAAGAAGGCATCAGATGGTTAGGCTGGCCTTCTGAAAAAGATATAGCAAGATGCTTTTGGAGGATAAAAGCAGATATATAAGTGATCCAGGCTCAAAGCTGGAGAGACTCCTGAGAGAGTCTGAAAGGGTATCTGATGGTGGGGTTGTGACTTAGGAGAGAAAAGATGGGACTAAGGGTAAAGAAGAGGAAAAGGGAAAGAAGCAATTAAGGAGGAGGACGACAGACCACACAGGCACACGTGTGCATTGCACACAGATGCTTGCACACACATGCTCACTCGTACACTTACAACTCTGCATCCTGCAGCCACCCCTCCCCACTTAGCTAGGGCCTTTGCTCACAGAGCCCATTCATTCTGTTTTTCCTAAAAGCAAAAACAATTAACTGATGTCCAACACCCATGCTTCCCCTTCCAGGACTTGTCTTCCCGGCGTGAAGCAGCCATCTGGGGCAGGGGAAAGACCTTCCTGAGAAGAGTGGGTGTGTGACGAGCTGTTCCTGGATGGAACAGTGCTGTGTCTTCATGGACAGCTGGTGACCTCCAGGCCACACTCTGAGAACTACAGATTGCTAGGGTTTGCTGGCGCAAAGATGTGGTGGGAAGACACTCAGACAAACGGAAGGACTAATTGGATTGCTTCCTGTCGGGGGTTTGGGACACTTATGTTCTGTGAAGTGTCAGCACAGCAATGATCTGCAAGTTAGGCAAAAAGAAACACCACGCAGCAGTTATTAAGCAAATGGATTCTATTTTCTTCCAGTTAAGAAGTCGTATTAGCTTGGTGAAGCCCATCTCATCCTGGCCGCACTAGCAATTCATTTTCATGTAATAACTAGAGAGAGAAAAGGTCTCATTAATCAGCCGGATCATTCGCTGAGAAGAGGAGAGTGCTGGAGACCAACAATTACCGTTCTGTCTGGCATGAGATGCAATCAGGAAAAACTCTGTGGTTTTCATTGACCCAAATCTTTTAACTAATGGTGGAAAGGTTGCTGAAAAGTCTAGTTGTCATAACTCAAATTTGCATTTGGAAAAAAGGTCTGTGCTGACTTCATTGACATTTTACCCAGTGGCTTCTGGTATACCTGCCTCTTGTCTATATGATTACTTTTAACAGACACTGAAAGCATCCTCCTAACCACCTAAGGAAACTTTTAAGCTCTTCTGACATAGAGCCACTGTGTCTTGACATTATATATAATTCAAAGGCCTTGGATGTGGTGCCTAAGTAAACGTTTGTCAGAAAAAAATCTACCATGTCTATTCACGTGAAAATCCAGAAAAAAAGGCAATTCCATGGCTTGTCATAACACTTGCATTCATATTCCCTTTCCTGAGACCAAGATCCTATAGTGCAGTAATGAGGGTTTTCAGGCGACCCCAATAACCCAGGGGAAAAGAAAAGCCAATATCTAGTCTGAAGATGATATAAGACATCACTTATTATACAATAGCTGTGTCCCCAGGATGAATTTCTTTATTTCAAGGTCATGACATTCCCTTCTATCTTAATATTATGCTCTAAGACAATGGTTCTCAAATTTTGCTGCATATGAGAATCACCTGGGGAATTTTTAAAATTTCTGATGCTTGGACCATACCCTAGTGTAATTAAGCTGTAATCTCTAAAGTGAGATCTACACATTTTTTTTCTTGTTTTCCTCTTCACTCTCCCCATAGTCTTTTTTTTTTTTTTCACAGTTTCAGGGATTGAACTCATGACCATGTGCTTGCAAGGCAGGCGCTTATGCCACTGAGCTAAATCCCCAGCCCTCTCCCCATAGTTCTAATGTATAGCTAAGGGTGGGGCCCAGTAATCCAAAGATAAATAATACATTTAACTGATTCTCAGGAAATTATTCTCTCTTACATCTACCTGGGACTTTATCCTAACAGTTCCCAGAGGTGGTGGGCCTAGTGCTTGAGGGAGGCAAAAACTTGAGCATCGATTGATACACAGTGGATTTTGTTCTTTGCAAAGAACATTTTTAAAATAAAGATAAAACTTTGGATGTTAAATCTCAGATTTAAAAAAACTTATTAATACATTGCTAAATTTCATTTTTAATATATTCTTTAACAATCAGCTGATGGAAAAGAGCATATGGGGGAAATTAAAACATAAATTGCATATAATTTGCATATAATATAAGTACACATGAAAGAGTAAAAGGCATCTTCCTGCACAAAGGAAAATCTTAGTAGAACTTAGCATCACTGCTGCTATTGATTTGCAAAAAAACCCCTAAGCACCTGATGTAATTAGTCTGTTTTGTTACTACAATGAAACACCTAAGGCAGGTTAAATTTATGAGGAAAAGAGGCATATTTATCACACAGTTTTGGAGTTTACAAGCATGGCATTAACATCAGCTCAGCTCAGCTGCTCCAATTTGGATCTTCAAATCCCTCAAAGGCTCATAGGCTGAAGGCGTGGTCCCTGGTACAGTGTTACTAAGAGATGGTAAAATCTTTAAGAGGCTTTTAGGTCATTGAGGGTGGAACCAGCTTTCTCTGTGCTCTCTTGCTTCCTGGTCATGAGGTGAGAGGCTTTGCTCTGTAACATACTCCTGCCACATTGAGCTGTCTGGCCACAGGCTCAACATAATGAGGCCAACTGATCGTGGACTGGATCTCTGGAAACTGTGAGCCCAGATAATCTTTTTCTCTTTAGAAGTTGGTTACTTCAGATACTTTGGTATTGTGATGGAAAGTTGATTAACACAGTATACACACAAGAAGGAAATCAAATCACCAAACAGGGATCCAGACAGATTAAGGTCATACATTCCCTTCTAGCTCCATCCCCACCATGACCTGAGGACCTCGCACAGGCCCCATCTCTGGGAAGTCCTGTCACATTTCATACTCCTATGCTGGGAAGCGGATGAGCCCCTGGGAAATGAACCACATCTAAGCCACAGCCCTCGGGTAATTCAATTACAAAACTGTGGAAAGAAAGATCTGGAGACTCAGTGTATACCCACAGTAAATGTGGACAAGGAGTACAGCCCTGTTGATGCTGCTAGGAACTGGAATACACAAACATGATCAGGGCCCTTGAAATTTCTGTTTTACAAGGCTATAATACAGGACAAAGCTCAAGGTGTCTGTGCCTATTTTCGAAGAGTCGTCCTGAAGTTTAGGCCCATAGAGTCATCTGAGGACCTACAAAAGTTCAGGATGCACTTGCTGTAGCCCAGACCAACTATGTCTGAATGCTGGTGTGGAACTGGAGCTGTTACAACATCTCAAGGAGTTCCAGCATTCAGGCAAGACTGAGCATAACTGCTTGGGAGGAGAAGAATACTGTACTTGAATCTTTTTTCCCACTTCCGGTGCTGAGGGTAGAACCTTGGACCTAATGCATGTGATGCAAATGCTTTATCCGTGGCCCTACCTCAGTTCTTAAGTTCTATCTATTCTTTTCATAGAGACAAACATAAAAGATGCACAAGGAAGGAATCAAGGGTGAGGAGGGCTCCCTGCTCTGCAGCAGGAAGCATTCTGCTCGTGTGGCCACTTCTGCCTGCAGTGCACAAAGTGGTAGCTTACCTTGGACTTTGTGGTCATGGTCATCCTGCAGGATCGCAATGGCCACTGTGTGGTTATTCTCCATCTCCAGGAGCGCAGCTTCATGACTGGCAGTAATATCTTCAACCTGAGGAGAGTCAGTTACTGGTTATCTGGAGAACTAGGGAGCTGATGTCAGCAATATCCTTGCAGTTTGGAAAAGAGAGGTACAATTCAATGAGAAGGAAAAGTCAGTGGCCCTGAATGTCAAGCATAAGTGACAGGGACCCTGAGCCTGTACCAAGGCATTCTAGTGAGGTAGCAATCTCTGGAGTTACAGGGAAGGCTCTGCCCAGGCAATACTACCCCAGCCACCTCTCGGACCCTGACCTGGCTACGGAAGCATCTCATTTTTCTTTCTGCTCCCATCCTTTCACTCTATGCCACAATGATGCAGAAGGAAAAAAAAAGGGTTTTCCTATGAGACGGTCTGTTGCTATGTTTTCCAAGTGGCAGGTGGGAGCATACTGTATCAAGGAAAAAGAAGAAACTAAAATTTACCGTGCTCCCTGCCATTGGGTACTCAACCCTCTGAGTAACCTCATGAAATGGGTATTTTATACTCCGTTTAAAGATGAGGAAACTGAGGCTAACAGCTTGAGTAAACAGCAGAGCTAGCAGTGCTGCCCAGATCTGTCTTATCCCAAAGGTGAAGCTCCATCAAGTACAACACTGCGCTGCCCCTGCTTCGACCCAGGAGAGGTCAGTAACATTTCAGCATCCTCCCATGTACACCCATAAGGCTGGGCAGTGTGAATACATGCACTGTACCAGATTCTGAAGCACAAACTTGGCCCTAGAGTACAATTCTCACCTGCCTGGGGAATTCAGAGCTGCTCCTGTGAAGGGCTGCTGATTCCCTGGCTGAAGTTACATTTGAGGAGTTTAATCACAAGTCGTATAGCCAGTTCCAGATCTTTTATTTATTTGGTGGTACCAGGGACTGAACTCTCAACCTCAGGCTTGCCAGGCAGGCGCTTAGGCCACTGAGCTACATTCCCAGCCCGGGATCTTTTATTTTGATACTTCTTGATTCCTCTACCTACCTTCCCCCACCCCTTCCTATTATGTCTATTACTGTTGTTACTTTAGCTACTGCTTAATTTGAAACATGTGACTCTTCAAAGTAACTACATTAAACAACCTCTCCTCACTACAGCCAACCTCTCTTGGTACAGCATGGATACAGAGTTGATTCCACTGTGAAATATTCTACTGTACATTGTAATACAGTGCATGTACACACATGCCCATACACATACTCATTCATGCATATCTCCACATCAAAACCACAGTTTCACAAAAATACTTGCCCTTTTCACTTGCAATAATTTGGTTTTACATTTTTATTTTATTTTACTTTATCTTACATAATGCTAGCTACCATTTACTAAATTTATTCCAGAATCTATGAATGTGTCAAAACCTGATATTTGATAAACGTAGATCTAGACAGTGTAGCCAGGTCCTATAGCTATTTGGATCAGTTAGAAATTTGCCACTCCCAAGAGTGCCTCATTGCTTTGGGTTTAATTCACATAATTTCTTCTGTCATTTAGAGGGAAAAAGGGCTCCTTATAAGAGCTCACTGAAACATGGAAGTATTTTTTAATTTAAAATGGATGGATTCCTATTTTGTAGAGCATAACTTCATGGAGAAATCTGCCTAGCTTCTCTAAGAATGAGGTCTTCAATCTCTAACATAGGAAAATTACTGTAAAGAAATAGAGCCCACAGCACTACTCAGGACAATATAAAAATGGATTGGCATGCAGCAATTTCTTTGTTTGTCATTCCTTTTTTTTTTTTTTCTGGTACCAGGGATAGAACTCATGACCTCACACCTGCCAGGCAGGTGCTGAGCCACTAGGCTATATCTCTGGCTTATTTGGCATTCCTGATTAAACAATATTTTACTTGAGGCTTACAGTTAGGTATCCACTCAGTAGTATAATGTAATACTCATTACAACAGTATTTAACTGTCCAGTTCCCTTTACATGACGTTTTAATGGAATCTTTGTCCAAAGCCTTTCATCTCTTGTAAAAATAAATTACCATTTTAAAAAATGGTAATGCCCTTTCTGTTCCATTACAGACGTAAGTTAAACACATAGTGCACATGTTTAGAAAAAAGTACCTGCATGTTTTCTGGAGGTCTGTTACACAGGTCAGTACAGCAAAGTACATTTCATCAGTCTTTTTTTTTGTCTTTTTCTTTTTTATTGGTACCGGGGATCGAACTCACCACTGCCTGCTTGCAAGGCAGGCGCTTATGCCACTGAGCTAAATCCCCAGCCCCATTTCATCAGTCTTTGAGATGGTTTTAATTTACTGGGCTCTTACATAACTTACCACAAGAGAGTTCAGAAAAGATAAACAAAAGGAAAGGCTAAGTCACAGAAAGGTCACAGAAAGGCCCCAAGTGGAAATACTGTAGCATGTTTGTGGCTAACATGTATGCTTTTCTAGTTTGTTGGAAGACCTGTTTTAGATTTAGTGGTGACAGAATTCCACATCCCACATGTTAAGGATGATGAAAGTGCATGCATACCCACCATTGCCTCCATTAATGAAAAACTGACCTCCTAACTTGAAAAACACACAGTATCAGACGAATCACCAATTGTTTAGGAGAAAGCCAAGAAAGCCCATGAGCCAACGGGTGCACGTAATCATGCTTGATTTTCAATAATGCAGCTTCCATGGCTCTTTGTATTTTTAAAAGAATGTTTCTTCAGCAAGGAGGAATGCAATCATCTGTGGGCCAGCCTTTTTCTTGTCACAGTATTAATCCCCATGGCTTCTTCTCCTATGGGTCCTGGCTCCCTTCTGGAGCGGTCCTGAAGCCATGAAGCAGCCAGTAAGAATCTCCAGCCTGAGAAGACTTCAGAGCCTTCTGCAGCCATTTGAGCAGATTGAGACTAGCTGGCCCAAGGGAAACACAGGACGATTTTATGCATTATAGATTACAAAATCAGAAGCAGAACTGTCAGGTTCTGGCCAGTTTTCGGTGGCTGAAACTACCTCTCCTTCTGTTAGAAACCTGGATGTGGCCCCCCTTGAAGTACTGCTGAAGTACTTTCCTCCTGCACTAAATTAAGACTTCTGGGCTATGGCTCAGAGGAGTCTGTGAGTTTGCCCATCAAACAGCCCCAGTGGTTGGGAAACCAGCTTTTTTCTGGGATATAACACCATTCCTGCTGCTGCTTGCTATTTAGCTGGGCTAGTTACAGCATGGAAAGCCACCCCCTCAGATGGGGAAGCACTGAGCTGCGGGCTTTACTTCCTTCAGCTATTTGCAAAATGGAATTAACTGGGGCTTTGGTAATTCACTTAGAGAAGACTCCCATTTCGAATGAGGAAGCATGTGCTCTATAATATCCCAGCCTCTCTCATTAAACCAGATTAAACTCCCATTTGCCCCCAGCCCAGACATGTGTCTCTACCAGTGAGACAGAGGGAGCTGGCGCAGGCTTACTGCCTCCTGATGACTTTCCTTTCCCGACAGCCAGGAAATCCTCCTTCATTTCCACTGCTGCAGTTTCCAGACAGTTCGCCATGCCACAGCCCCCAGGCCAACTTCACCCATCCTGCATGTGCCTTTTGTCCTCTCTGAAGCCAACCATGTGGGCAGGAGTCCACAGAGGCTCCCTGTCCCCTGAGCTGCCTCCTCCCAGCATAAGAAGCTCCAGTGTGGAAGAGCGAGGGCCCCTGGGATCTGATTCTATCTGATTAGAGAGAATGTAGCTTCCGCTGTGTGATGGCCAGGGGTAGGCAGGACAGACTGGTTAAGGAGACACAATGCAGGTGGATGGACCAAGTGGCCCCCTCGCACTCAGACTAATCATAGAGATGCTGTTCCTGCGTTTTAGCCTAAAAGTACCACTTCTTTCAGAAAGGATGTGCTGGGTCTGAGAAAGCGTAAAAATAAATTCCGAAGGATGAGCACCTCCCCAAAGGCGGCATCTCTGCTCGGACCCCAGGGCAGAATCCACCATGCATCCAGGAGTATGAGGTTAGGGTTAGGGCAGCTGACTGCAGGGCAGCTGGTGGAATAAACAAACTACCTTGGTCTTAGAGGGACGGGGGCAAAGTTTGCAGTCCTAACCCTTGATTCCCAGGCTCTGTGGCTACATATATTTGGGAAACAACCAAAAGGAGCTCAGAAAGGAGCATGGGAAGCTGGGCGGAGACGCAGCTACCTGTGAAGCAAGGAAACAGAAGCACACCTGTTAAGGGCGCAAGTCTGTTTGCATGCTTTGATTATGGATATGCGTGGATGTGGCCGCTGCAGGTTGCTAAAGAATGAGAGCTGATTTTGATGAAATAATTTTAGCACATAATTTTAAAATGAGAGTTCTACCATCTCAGAGTTCTAGCATATTCTTAAGGTTCACCGTCTTGCCCATTCCCTGCCACTGTCCAAGTCCCTACACAGCACCTCTTGGGCTGAGGAACCAGGCCCTGCACCTCCCTGGACACAGATGGGCTGCACACTAGAGTCTCATGGGGAGCTCTGAGAAATAGCCCCGCTGGACAGCATAGCACAGGCCTGCAACCCAGAACTCGGAAGGCCAACGCAGTCGGATCTGAGTTCAAGGCCACTCTGAGCATCACAGAGAGAGCTCTGTTACAAAACACGACAAAAACTACTTTTGTGGGGGTGATTCAGTGGCAAAGCACTTACCTAGCAACTTGCTTAGCAAGTTCCTGGGTTCAATTCCCAGTACCACAAAGTAAGTAAATAAATTCATAAAAATAAAACCAGTTCCGGGCCAGGCGCCACCCTGCTCGCAAGCAATTCCCATTCAGTCAGTGCGGGGGTTCTGTTCTGTCAGACCTCCAACTGACTTCCAGATGTTCCTGAAGCAGAAACCTGGACAGGGAGGAAGCCCCGGCTCCTTGAGGTAGGAGACAGGCAAGAAGAAGGCTTTCGATGACTCTGTTCCTGGACAGATCCTGTAGGGGAGCCAGAAGTCACCTTATCTTGTGAGGAAGTCCCAACCTGAGTGAAGGTTGGTATCTGAAACCCCATACAATCCTATGTCAGAACCGAAGCTGCCCCAACCATGCTACTGGCCGTGGGAGGCTTGGGTCATGAGAGGCCATACAGACAGCACTGCTACTATCTGTTGGGGTCAGCACCATCAACCTAATTGTCTGTGAGCAGGAGGCCAGGGGTGGAGAATGCTCGCTGGACCCGCTGAATGCACACACGAGCCATCTCTACCTCAGTTTCCACTTGAGTCTCCTCCAAACCAAAGGGCATTTCCAGTAACAGGCACTCGGAATCCTGGGAGGATGTGTATTTCCTCTTCTTCCTCATGTCCTTCATGCTATACTACAGAAGTAAAAGGTCAGGGAATCGGTCAACACTCAGCAGCAGGAGTAGAACTAGGACCTGAGGCAGGCACAGATATAAATGGCTGGTTCTGCAAACCACTGGGCAGCTATCCGAAGGTCCGCTCATCTCCGAGTGTTCAGGTGCTATTTCCACCACAGCACGTCTCCCGTCGTCATGGCTGGAAGTGGATTCTCAGTTCCTAAACAGGCCTGTATTTCTCAGCCAGGGTTATAGTTCCCTGAACTTCCTCCATGAAATAAGCGAGTCCACATTTTATAAATCTCGGCATCTCCTGTAGTAGTCTGTTACAGTGCTCTGCATACAGAGAGCTTTCAATGCACATTCTTTGCATAGGGGATAAATAAATAAATAGAGGGCTTCAGTGACCATAAGCAACCAGGGCTGAGTACCTTCATAAGACTGTGCCTTCATAAGACAGAGTACCTTTAAAACATACACAGATAGCTAATGGAAATTAGTAAAGAAGTCCAAGGGTTTTTCCTTTCTGATCTCTCTGAGTTTGAAATCTGTGATAAGCAGTTGTGTCCCAGCTTCGCTGAGAGTTGAGAGCCCATATACCAGTCTGTTGCCATTGCTGCCAGGACAAAATAGGTAGGCGACAATCTGCCTCTGCACGGAGAGGGCTTGGGGAGGCCTAGCCACCAGCTGTGCCCTGCGGGTGGCGGCTCCACCTAGCAGCCTTACCGGTAATGTGGATCACTTTGGGAACCTTCACCCAGGGGCTCTTCCCCTACCTGCTGCCCACCTCTCACTTGTGGTATCTTCTTGGCTGGCCCAGACCTTGGCACTGAAAGTCTTTGATAAAGGTCACATATTTTCCATGGAACACTGGAGATGAAGAGCCAAGGGATACACAAGAAGCCCAAGGAGATATCTGCACCACTTTGAAAGCATGAAAGAGCCCAGACTGGACACCACAGCGAGTACCAATGTCCACTGCCAGGAGCTGTGCTTAGACAGCCTGGGAGGGGAGATGCTTTGACTTCGTTTTCTAGTCTCAACACCAGCAGGTGACTTTAGCTGCCATCCCTTCTATGTCCTAGTTGCTAAGACTAAACTACCTCATGCAGACAGGTGCTTTTGCTTTTTATCAGCCTCTAGGGAGAATGGCTAACCGAGGTGCTTGCTGTGTAAAGTAAAACGCTCTAAAGTAAGAAGCTCTTTGTTATTATACTGGTGCTTATTCTTGGGCTGAACTGGGTCCTCCCCCGCTGGGGGAGGGAACCCATCTGATTATTGCCATCTGGGATAATTATTTGGAAACAGCCTAAGGAGGTCAGCCCAAAGGTTAGTGATACATGAAGGGCCAGGCAGACATATCCTGGGTGTCAGATGAGATTTAAAGAGCTCTGCTCATTAATGATAATTTACCCTGAACACAGGCAGATGATAAAATAACATACAGTTAGAAGGAGGGGACCCAGGCATGTGAGCTTGGAAATTTAGAAAGAAGAGAAATAATAGAAGGAACACAGTCTGTGGAAGCAGATTGGTTTGTTCTGCCCGTCTGTCATCAGTGCACACAGAAGCTGGCGGTGGGGTGGACACATGGGGCTCCTACCCACTTTCACACCAATGGGCCACATGGGTGGCCTTCCCTCGTTATTCCTTGGATAAATTTCCCTTCCCAGAAAAACTGCTGGACTAAAGTTAATGATCAGCACTCATTATTTCATTCAATGAATACACGTTTTGTGCCTGAGTTCCACAAGCATGGTGCCAGGGAGGGAGGGGCAGCAGGAAGAGTGGCAGGCAGCTCTAAGCCAGTGCTTGGCAGCAGCACTATGGAGCCAGACCGGATTCTACCCTGGCTGTTCCGTATGGAGCTCTGTGAATTCTTATGTAACACATGGACTCAGTTTTCTCACCTGTAAAAAAGGTAAGAGTGGTACCTACCTGGTAGAGTGATTATGAACATTCAGCTGAAAGCAGTGTCTGGTGCAGAAGCAGGACTAAGTCTATGTCTGCCTGCTATCACCTCTGCCCTCATACAAATGCAAATACATGGGTAAGAAGTAAGCTTCATGTTAGTCAGAAGTGCTGGAGAAACACCAGAGCAGGAAAGGGGACAGGAAGTGTGTGCGTGTCAAAGGGGAAGGAAGTATAATTTTAGGTGAAGAAGACCTCACTGAGAAATGATGAGAAATATTATTAGAGAAAACTCATGAAGGAAGAGAGAGTAGAAGCCATGCAATGTTTGGAGGGAGAGGATTCCAGGCACAGCAAATCCAGAAGCCCTGAGAAAGAGCTGGGGAGGCCAGAGCAGCTGGAAGAGAAGTGGACAGGGTCAGAGGAAGAAATGAAGTTGGAGTGCGACCTGGACCACAGACTCACCCCCTGAAGAGGACAGGGTTCCCTCCACCCGCCACCTGTGCTGCTCAATAGCAGAACCCATGCCTGTGCCACAGACTGACCTGCTCCTGGTGCTGGCACCGGATCTGCAGCAGCTGGCCGTGGTGCTCCTCCTGCAGCCGTGCCATCTCCGCCTCAAACTGCAGCTGCAGTCGCTCTTGCAGCTCCTGGAGTTCGGCCTGCTGCTGCCAGCCCATCCTCCTCAGCTCTTCCTCAAACCGCCGCTCCAGGTCCTCCTTCTCCTTCTGCAGCTTCTCGCATTTGGCTGTGTTGAAGGCTGGCAGAGAGCAGAGAGCTTATAAACACACTGGGGAAGGGCATGGAAGGACTCCACCCAGGCAGCACACTAACATTCAAGTGCCTTGTGAGCAGCATTTGATTCTCATCAGGCAATCTGGATGCTAAGCTAAGACTGGAGCCCATGGAGCGCCAGAGATTTATGCAGGAGGTGACATAGCTGAGAAGGCACATGGAGGATTTCTAATTGCTACGCCCTTGCACCTCCCCATAGAGTAGTCAGATGGTCCATGGACATAAGCATAAAAAATGCGGCTCCCAGATGCACCGTGGCAGAAACAGAGCCCCTGCGCTCCTGGCATGGGCACTTGATATTTGTGGAGTCAAAATGCTGGTGTTTGTGTCTTAATTACTTTTCTTATTACTGATACGAAAATATCTGATGCCCAAAGCTAAAAGAAGAAAGGTTCACTTAGTTCAGTTTGTAGAGGTTTCAGTCCATAATGGGCTGGCTCCAGGGCAGGGTGGCTCTGCAGAAGAAACAGCTCATGATGGGCAGAAGACAGCAAAATCAGAAACTGATTTTAACATCCATTTTCTGCCCCTTTTATACTCTATCTAGATTGCTGGGATTAGAGCAGTGCCAATCCAGGCAGTGAATTGATTATATTTCCTTAATCCCAGATCACACATTCTAGATTCAGCCTCCTCTGAAAAAGCCCTATGACCGCATGAGGTTTTGAGTGGTCATCTAGACATAAACTATAACATTCTTCCCCTGATCCCCAAAACTCATGCATATCCCTCTCTGCAAAAGGCATTTAGTCCATCTCCAAGAGTTGCCAAAAGTCTAACGGTTTTCAGTCCTGTCATTCCTTCCATGTGCAGCATCTGGGACCATCTGGAGTAAGATCTTAACTCCAAAAAGCATGAGAGATGCTGCCCCTGTGGCATTGCTGGTGGTTGTAGCTCCCATGGCTTTTCTCTTGGGCTTGCTCTGCTCGCCCCCCCCCCCCAGCAGTTTTCCTCAGACAATACATGTTCCTGGCCTCTCCAAACTTCTGGGATCTCCACTGCAATTTTGGTTTCACACACACACAGCCTCATACAGTGCTCTCTTAGGGGCACACTGCCTGGCATTCCAGGCCTTCTTCTGTAATCTGGGTGGAACCCTTCATGACTTTGCAGCCTTTGCACTCAGCATGTACCTAAAACCAGCACCACAATGGATGGATTCTGGAATATGATGCTCTGGGGCTTTCTTCACAAAGCAAAGTCTCACTTTTGTAAATTTGAGCCTGCAAAGGGTGGTGGCTTTGTGCTTCTTGTGATGCCCTCAGGTCATCTTTTCTATTCTGCTGTTCATTTTCAGCAGTCAAGATCTCTTCTCTATCTTTGCAGTCCACAGCTCTACTGGAGCTTCCTTTCTGGTCACCACATTTTAAATCATTCTGGCTCTTGGCTCTTAATTCTCAATGCATAATTGGCTAAATGCTCCCAACAGTATCCATGCCACTGCCTAAACATTGGACTGCCTAGAAATTTCTCTATAGGATTAGCTTGCTGCCCTTAATCTCAGTCTCAGGCAAAGACTAGACATAAGCAAAATGCCAAACAAACATCATCACACAAACTTTCTGCCAAGACATAACAAACATCATCTGGAGTCCAGCAGCAAACACAGTCCTTCCCAGCAGAAACCTCCTCAGCCAGGTCTTTGCCTGCTTTCTGGTCTTCTGAATCTCCTACACAATACAACCTCAGGCATTTCAGCTTGACTTTTTCAGAGGGCATTTCAAAACTTTTCCATACTCTTCCCACAAGCTGTTCCCAAAGGCTCCTGAACCACACAGTCAGGTATAGTCACAGCAACACTCTTGGTACCAAACTCTGTTTTAATTACTTTTGTTATTTCTGAGACAAAATATCTGATGCCCAAAGTTGAGGAAACAAAGGTTTATTAGTTTGTTGAGGTTTCAGTCCATAATGGACTGGCTCCAGGGCAGGGTAGCTTTGTAGAGGAGAGTAGTTCATGGTGGACAGCAGACAGAAAAATTAACAAATGACCTTAATAGCATCTTCCTTTCCTTTTTATACTTTATGTAGGCTACAGGGGTGAGTGTGGTGCCAAATCAACAGTTTAAGGATCAGACACCATTAATCCCAGCACCACACACTCTAGATTAGCTACCTCTGAAAAAGTCTTATCACTACATGAGGCTTTTGGGGACACCTAGACACAAACAATAATAGTATGTTCATCTAAGAGGACCAGGGTGACTTTTACATCCTTTAGAATTGACAGCTGTACACTCATGTGTGGAACTTGTTTCAGTGTTGGGGGCCCATCTTTAAGGATCTTCCCTCTGGCTCTAATGCCAAATGGGACATGAGGTATCTTTTCACATGACCTGAAGCTTTATGGACCCCATGCTCAGGGAAATCTGTTTTTCTCCATCAGCTTGTTTAGTAAGTATACAAGAACACTCATTCACTTAATACTCCTTGGCACAGGTATGCACGTCTTATCACACAGGCAAATACCTTATAGTTTCAAGTGTACACACAGGCAGAAAGACACAAGAGAAGGGTAGCAGTCACCACTGCATCCAGCTCAGCTCTTTCTACAGGCTCTGTGTTTGTTCCCAACCCATCCCATGCTATGGGCTACGGTGGAGAATTCTCATCTCCATCTGGATTCAACCTAGCTTCAAGAAGGGGAAGAACACCAGACAAAGGTGCATATACACAGCATTTTGACTTCATAAAGATAAAATGCCCATGCTTTCTGCTCTGAAATACATACTAAGGAGACAATGTCTTTTACGTTAAACTAAAGCAAGCACATATAGGTGCTGGCTAACTACAATTTACACTGGGGGTGATGGCTCTGATCAGGAAAACACATCCAAGGTCATTGTAGAGCATCTGGATCACCCCAATTAGAAATACCTACCCTACATTAGCAGCTAATGTAAGGGTTTCTTTGTCACATTCTGCTTTAGAAGAACTTAGGAGAGAAAATACAAGAAAATTCCTCCACTGGTGAAACGTATGGTGTTTCAGGCAGATTTTGTACCAGCACCTTACCTTTGTGTGAGTGACATGTAAGAAGCTATGGGGCCAGCAGCCCATGCTGCTCCCAAACGCCTTCTTAGCTGCAGTGTACCCAGTGTCCTGTGTCCCACCACTCAATTAAGGACTTTGATCTGCCAGTGTAATCAGGTCTGCTGAGGACTGGGTAGAAGGAGACGTCTACACCACATGTGGGTAATAAGGGGGTGCCCTATTTATGAAGGATTTAAAAGAAAACCCAAACCAATTCATTATTCTTATTGACAAAAATCCCAAGCAATGTTGTGAAAAAATACTCCCCTCCAAAAAAGCCTTTTATTGGTTTATATTTTGAATAGTTATTACAATTACTGTGGTTTTTTTCTAAAATAATCTCTGCTGAAATAATAACCACAGGGCTGGGGGTGAAGTTCCCAGGTAGAGCACTTGTGTAGCATGCTTGAGGCCCTAGGAGCAATCACCTATACTACAAAATAAATATACAAAAATAAAACTACTAACACTAAGGATGTTATTATAAAAGAATAAGATACGGACCTGCCATTCCATTAACCATGAGCTCTATAATATATATTCTCCACAAACACAAACATTTCTCCCACTTAATCACAAGACAGTCATCAAAGAAAGAAATAAACATTGATATAATATCCTTTCTAGAAAACAGACCCAGTTCTAAATTACGAATTTCCTCTAGTTGTTCTATTTCCTTGATCCTTTTCCATCTGAGACTTTTCCTCAGTCTCTCTTTAGTTTTCAGAACCTTGATACTTTTGAAAGCCTGGAGTTTTGTAGAATGTCTCTCAATTTATCATGTCTCATGGTTTCTCCTTACTAAATCCTAATCCTGCATGTTTGGCAGGAATATCACAGAAGTGGTACAATGTTTTTTGATTAAGGAATCACAAATTTGAATAACATCTTTATAATGTAAATTTCTCCTTTTCTAATTGGTTAGGTAGTGAATCAGGAAAGAACAACTGGGATGAGAGGAAGGAGAAAAGAAAGAAAAGACTACACATATTCATATGATATATACATGATATGTATGTATAATATATATATATATATATATATATATATATATATACAAGATATAAAATTATACTACTAATTTCTGTTAATTCATCAAAAAGAATGATGTAGAACAAAGGCCCTGGATTGCCAATTAAGAAACAGTAATTGATGGAGTTGGCCACTTGGCACACACCTGTAATCCCAGCACTTTGGGAGGCTGAGGCAGTAGGATTACTTTTGGGGTGAAGAAAATGTTCTAAAATAGATTGCAGCATTATTTCTACAACTTGTGAATATACTGAGCTGTATACTTTAAATGAATGAATTGTATGGTATGAGAATTATACTTCAAGAAAAAAATAAAGAAAAAATGATAGGATGTATCAGAGGACAAATTTAGATGTCACATAGAAGGGAAATCCATACTTTTATATTTTAAATCTCTCTATACTAATGGTAAAGATACACGATAGCAATAAAACAAAAGTGAAAATCTAGCCACTACCAATACAAACACACACACACACGGACATATGGATATATGTGGGACCTAGGAATAATCTGTGTGTGTGTGTGTGTGTGTGTGTGTGTGTGTGTGTGTGTGTGTAACTGGAGACTGAACCCAGGGATCACCAAGCTACATTCTCAGCCCTTTGAATTTTATTTTGAGTCAAGGTCTTGCTATGCTGCCCAGACTGGGCTGCCAAGACTCTCCAACCTCAGCCTCCTAATAACTCCTCCTGCCCTGGCCTCCTAAGTAACTGTGATTTTAGGCCTATGCTTCCACAACCAGCACTCTTTTCGGTTTTTTAACTAGAGATATATTGAGGATGCACAACTAAAATGAAAATAATAAGAATGATAATCATATCTCGGTTTTGCAAAGTTGTATTTTGTACGAGAAAAGCTATGAGATACTATCATCAGTGTCTTTGATTCCAGAAAATT